GTGGCTGGTGCTCTGTACCTGCGCTGCGCATCCGGGATAGAAATCCGAGGCAGCTCATCAGAAGTAGAAAACAGAGGTAGAAAGAAAAGCGCAGTAAATAAGGGATGAACGGAATCATGCCAACGGAGGGAGAACGCCGCCTCACTCACTTAATCCTTCCGGGTAGACAGAATGTAAGCTCTGGGGGCAACCCTGGAGTTCCCATTCAGTCGTTCCACGGTCATGGCGCATGCCCCCGTTGGAACGGTATTATCTACCAGAGTGACACAGTGCATGCTGGCGTTTTCTGATGTTGGTGAATGTGCATTGTTTTTCCTTGTAAATGCACAGTGGCAATTGAAGAAAACTGGACCTACGGCAAGCGGCTTGTTGAAAGACCTACAGCGAGCCAACCTTCCGCAGGGTCTGTGCATGATGACTAACGAAGACAACTGAATTTAGTAACACAGGTGTTCTTCTGACGGTGAACTACACTTGTTGCTCCAAATTAAACGCAACACACTTTGTCCCCCTCTGTGGATTAGGTAAAAAGCCACACAGAGGTTTTTGCTCACTGGTCTCTCAAAGGTCATTAAATTTGACAGCGTGTTCCCAAAAGTAAGGCCAACCCAGCAGAAACACCGCCCGCAATTTCGAGGAATTGAGCTCACAGCGTCGCCCTTCTTTGGACAGCAGCAGATACCTAGCTCAGCACTAGCTGGCCCCGGAATGCAGGAAACGGACCGCTTTGGTCCCACGGGAAAGCTAATTGAAGTCCTCGACGCACCGTGAAACCCCGAGGCAAGCGGTAAAAAGATGCTCTGCAGAAGGAATTTTTATGTAGCTCTACTAACAATATGCAATAGCGTCGGCTCAGTGCTCCCCCAATTGAACTGTGGTGTAGCTTACACGCATCCCCAAAAATCCTGGGTTGAGGGGCGGGAACCATTAGATAGCTTGTTATCTGCATTATTTCCGGCTGCCGCCTTTTCGTTGAGGCTTTCGTGATTTGTGCCTCTTCCTTAAGTGTTTCTGTCTGTGTCTTCTTAATGGTCTCGTGGTCCCGAACGACCGCGTTTTCCCCTCCAGGTTTGTTTGAGGTATACAGGAACGGCTGGAGCTGCTACCAGCCTTCGTGCCCTTCAAAACTGTTGAAGCGCTTGACTGAGATAGTTGGGTCTCTTGGTTCTCTGAAGATTCCAAGTGCTCCATGAACCCGCCCACCGACAACGAGACGCAAGATGCAATTTGCCATGGGGAGGCTGCCGCTTCTTCAGCCGACGGCGGCAAAAGACGTACGTTCTGCGTCCACAAGCAGACGTCGAACAAATGAAGTGCATTTACACGAGTAAAGTAATTTTATTACTTACGCTACAACGGGCATCAACAAAACGGAGCCAGTGAAAAATCGCGCACTACAAATGGGGGATTTCAGGCACTCACAACAGCTAGTTGGGGCACCTACGGGGCGTGACGCACCTGCATGGGCTCTACTGCATGGTCCTGTGGTAGCTGAGATTCTGTGTTTTTCTCAACCCCTACGGCAACGTAACCTGAGGCTGCGCGAACATCGACACGTTTGTACGTAAGGCATCACATTCCCTTCGTAAATGCCACAGCTTGTGGACGGACAGCTGGGTGAAAAGGACTCCACACAGAGAGCAACTTACTAACTACATATGAGGGCTGCCATACTGCCCAGATGCTTACAGGTAACCCTGTTAACGTGCATTACATCCCTTGCGGGCAGCGACGTACGCGCCGAAAATGAGACGTACTAGCGCTTCCGGTGGCAATCCTGTGGCGCTTGCTGCTGCTGCTGCTGCCTTTAGTTTGAGAAACCAAAGTTCCACGACATCTTCCCAAAACTGGAGTAGCTGCCGACTCTGCTAGGAGTTGGCTCTGTCGAACGTGGGTAATGTGCTCTCTGATCTTCTCGCGGCGCTGTAGGGGGAAAGAGCAAGCAGCACAGGCACTACAGCGAAGAGGAAGTCGACACATGGGCAGCCACAAAAGTCCTCAAGACTGATATTAAAAGAAAATTTGTTACGAACTTTAAAGAGGGCTTCCAACTGCTGTAGTGGCACATCGAGGCAGTGGACTTTGGGGGTTGTACCTCTGCTCGCAGCTGTCGCCTTTCTTCCTTCTGCCTCTCCAGGGCACGAATCTTTGCCTCATTCCTTCGCTGCTCTTTCCGTTTCGAGACTCCTGTAACGAATTCCCTGCACAAACACCTGCAACTCAATCAAGGATACAACCACTCCCCTGGGCCCATAAAAGTGCAGAACGGTTGCCTAGGGATGGCTTAAAATGGTACACAAAAGAGCAACAACAATAAAAAATCAATCTTTCGGTATAGCGCCTTCGGCTGGGGGTTCAAGTAGAACGCCTCACCGCCTCGCAGCAAAATCGAAAGTTACCACGGCGTCAGAAGTAGTCTTCTTTGACTTTTTTTTCATGCTGACAGAAATTGCACTAAAAATTTAGCTCAATTTGTATTCATCCTTGTCTTTCTGCACATTGATGACATATTCATAGTCCAGAATCTGGGGGCCCCACAACTTGCGACTACGATGCGCTGCGGAGACCTGGAGGGTTTGGAGAGTAATTTCTGCAAATAGTAATCTAAAGCCTTCACTGGGTTTTTGGCATATCTGAAAGTCAGTTGTAGTTCAGCATTACTCGCACGCGAACGTTTACACAGGCCATGGTTACTGGGGCTTTGCAGCCAAAGGAGCCACTCAAGGCTCTCTCAAGTGTGAGGATACACGCCAAACGATAGGGACAGATTCTACATGCGTACCAGTGTACTAAGAAGTACATATGCACTAAAAAGTAAATTATGCCACTTTTGGCACGTACGCGCAGCGCGTTGCCCCTCCGTTCTTTTGCTTGTGAGGGCCTGCTGCCTGCTGCGTTTCTGGGCGGATGAAGGCTAAGTATTTCAACAATTCGATGAGCCTTCCCTTAACCAGCGCAAAGCTCGTCTTCAGCATCTCTGGCTCCCCTTTGTCGCTAATGAATATTTTAGCGCATATCAGGTGGAGTGTCTGGACAGAAGGGATGAACGGCTTGAAAAACCGTTAGGCCATGCTGCGGACGGGCGACAGCGTGCGATTTTTCCACAACAAGTGTAGCGCAGGCACAAAGATGTCAGTGTCTGAACACACAATAATAAGTAATGTAGCCTCAACGTCGTCAGTAGAGCAAGTGGGTTGGATCCTACGGTTCTGGTGTTCTAGGGCCGCCCTGCGACTCCTGTTGCCCAGACAATTGCGTAAAAGAGATTATGTGCATGTCTGTGCCCCGATGAACTCAGCAATCACGTAACTGGGGAAGCTTTGAGGCCTTCCCGTGCTGTGGCGATGGTCTTCGTGACTGCTGCATGCCAAAGCGCGCACGAACAGCACTCATACACTGTATTAATAATCTCTTGTGCCTCTCTCTACAAGGCGGTGCCTCCGAGCACTTGTGCAAGTGGGCCTCACTGCGACTTTCATTCTACTTTTCCCTCCATATTTCCCTCGGTGGACAGATTTGGTAATGCTCGTTTTGGCCAATTTTTCTTGCCGCACTAATTCCAATTTGCCTAAAGTTATGTATGCTTTTGCTCTATCTAATGGTGCTCTTCTGTACTATTTTTCAATGCAACGAAAGACGAAGAGCTAACGACGGGGAAACGTGCAGTTTTGCATTGGGAACGAATACCGAAATGTATTTGTCGATGCAAGAGAGCAGCTTCAGTGAGCATCAACCTAGGACCTAATTTTGCAAAGAAAATGCAAGCCCGGGAGCGCCTCAACAGGGACGGAAGCCCGCAACACGATAACATCTCAAGGAGTAGGTAGGAAGCTGTAAAGCGTATTGCTGTCGGTGTGGAAAATCCATCGAACTACACTGGAAATTGAATGCTGTAGTCTCCGTGCTTGCCGCAGTGCTGCAGTGTTCGACGGGCCTACTCACTGCCCCTCCAGCTGGATGTTCTCCGCGTACAATAGCAGTGAGTTACGGTTTGCGGAGAGACCCGTGGCAGACGGTGTGATGTCTATCGGGGCCTGCTCTTGGTTTCAAAAGAGCTGATAAGCCGAGCATCGATCGTCCCAGCTAACCAGTGGCAACGTAATGTATCCGAAGAAAATCAATTCAAACTGCAACAGAAGAATGTCGTCTAGACGACGCCCAACTTGCAGTGAATTAGTTAGCTTGCCAATCAGTAAGAACAGCTCACCCTTTCCATTGGGATTCTTCTCTAAAGAATCAAACGGTGAATTAGGCAGTCACGTTGCTCGTAGGAATGATGGAGAACCAGCAATCAGTCTTTCGTTAGAGGATGGAAGGGACTATTGCCTTAATAGGTCCGGTGCGCTTCATCACATTCTAGTTATGCAGCTGATGTACTGAAAGAATGCGAGGGATGGTTGCCTTTTACTCCGCAACAAGCCGGATGTACAGCCAACAGCTAACTGAGTTTATTTTTGAGCGACTCAAAAGACACTACGCACAACCGGCACATCTCATCATGTCACATACAGCGGGTGCCAGACATCACTACTTTACATTCGGGTGCTGGCGTCAGCAGAGAGTTTTCGCAACCATGCGTCGAGCTGTGAACGCTCACAGCATCAGTAGAACACGTTTTATGACGCGGACATGCTGCTGTTCCAAAAATCGCTGGCGACCATCACTAGTATCTCAACCTACAATCAGCACATGTATACGGTACAACTCATCCTCCATGCATTATTCCGGAAGGCTATCCGTAATACTGCAAAATACTTCTTAGAAGAAATGAGAGTGACCAAAAGGAACAATGACTCGTCTGTACTTTCTCTTAACAGCCCACTGCTCCACTTGATGACAAACACAGTAGAAGTGCTTTGCAACCGTAAACATGACATCACTAGTTAAATTCCAACTGCCGATCAACTACACGCCGATTGGCACGCAGGAATCAATCTGTAAAACGCCAAACCACGTTGAATGTTCTACAATACACTGCATGATTAAAGCCACTACAGGCTTCAACGTTCACCCTCCTTAGACCCAGGGGGTCTTTTAAAAAGTCCTATAGACCGTTTAGAACTTGGCTTCGGGCTTTCGACTGGAGTGTCTGTTCGAGCTGGATCCGAGGGATCAATGCTTTCCCTTGTTGTGCCGATAGCTCTCTTTGGGGCCGGCTTCGAAACCCCTCCTGTTGTTTCAACCTCCGCTGACTCTGCTAAAGAACTAGCGCTCCCGATACGTGATACTCTGCGGCGTGAGAGCGGCTGCTCAGCACCGCTTGATGGCTCTGCTTTTATCGCTGAAGGCGTCAATGGGGAGGCCATTCTTGCAGTCCTCTTCGGCGCTCTTTCCTGGTCATCAGATGAAGGCGCCACGTCGGACTCACCTAGACGCGAAGCACTTCTGACAGTCCGCCTACTGCTTTTAGGACTGTTATCCCTTTCTGAACCAAAACTGCTGTGCGTTTGCAAGGTGCGCGACCCTTGTATGGACGCGTCACTGGGCGTACGGGAAAGCGAAATCCGTCGAGGCTGCTTCCCTTGTAAGCCCTCTTCAGATGCCTGCCCGCCCATTACATCTAACTCAACGCTTATCCGCCGGCGGCTAGCACCAGATCCTTTTTCTCGATCATCCGAAAAGCCAACAGGCGATACTCTACGGCCCATGCCACCATTAGCGTCATGCTGCCACGTAGGTGCCAATGACTTACGTCGCTTGCCTTCAGAGGCAGTTTCAAGGGATGAAAAGCTCGGGCGAAGCACACGTTTGCGCTCCTCTGCTAAGCTTACACGCCTCGAGCCCAACTGTTTCAGACTCCTCTTCGGATCTTCCGTTGTGCCCTTACTGCGTACTTTAACTTTCCGATTCTTGTCCTTCACAACGGGCTCTAGGTACTCTAACCGTGCTTTAGCCTCTTTTTGCCTCTCAGCGACTTCATCGAACGATTTAAGGATATCCTCGAGGTCTTCACCGTCCGCCTTTTCTAGTTCCATCTGAACCCTCTCAGCCACACAACGAGCCGCGCGCGCATTGAGGATGCAATTTACCTCCTTTTCTATATCCATTCGTAGGCGGGAATTTTCCGCCTCGGCCTCGTGCAAAACTTCCACCGCAAAGAAAAAGTCAAGGATGTTGAAAGAGGCTCCGTCTCCATCTGGAGAGCCAAATCGACTGCGCAGTGCCTCGCTCAGCTGCTGAAGTTCTGCCTCAAGCTCTTCGTTCTCTTTGCGCAGAGCTGGCATGTCAGAGCTGCTTGCTGCGGCCATCCTTTCACGGTACCACATATGGAGCCGTCGGAGTTGTCCTCGTGGGATGTACCGCATTGACTGCACTGCAACATACAGCTCCATGAGAGTAATGGGACTGTCGTCATACACGTCGTCGTCAACCAGCATATCTAAAAACTCCGCTTCAACTTCATTACATTGTGTTTCTGGGTCCAGAAGAACATCATCCTCTCCTTCATGCTCCTCGACGTAGCATTCATTAAACAAAGACGGTCTCATGGCATCGAATTCCTCCAAGTCAAGAGGCTCCTTATTGCTCGACGCGCGATGCCTCATCCAAAAGCAGTAACAAAATGCATAACGAATGGTGAAATCCAGCCAGTCTCCAGGTATGGTGAACTGACACCAGGAAATTACCAGCCGCGAAAGAGAGTCAGTCAGAGCAGAGACAAAATACGTTCTGTTTTCATAATTAATCTTCCGATAATCTGTGAGTTTCTTCTTCCTCTGGATCATTCTGCGAATGTGGAAGACCCTTGACTTCGCTGCCGCCTCAAGCACCATCTCGTTCGTGATGTAGTTGTAGTAGACTTTAGCATTACCTCGAGTGTAAAGTCTAGCGAGAGACCTGGTCACTAGGTTAAAGTATCTCCACGGCGATGGCAACCTTGCCAAGTGAGGACGCATAAGCACCATTCTTCCCGCCTCTACAAAAAGGTTCCAGAAGACGTACATGTGAAATAGCCCGCACGTGACGATTGGCAGAGGGCCCAACCATTTGAAAACAGAGAAGGACAAGCTGCCCTGAATAACAATACAGTTGACGACATTGGTTAGCAGGCCCAAAAATTCAACTCGATTCGTCAGGTTGTGGCTCCGTCTATCATATGGCTCAATTAACAGTTGAGAGATCAAGCACATGGTGACGATCAAAAGGTTCACGGAATTCCGGAAAACCTCCTGAGTCCCAGCAGCACTCATGTGGAGCTGTAATGTGAGAAGGCACGCACAAGCCAGTTTGCGTGCCATGAGGAACATTTCCCATGCTCGGTATTGAAATTCATATCCATTAGAGAGGAAACCATAGCGATACCTTGCTTCCAGCTTGTCAGCATTGTCCGTGTATAGCATCCACACACAAAAAACGATGACGCTGCTGATTCCCCACACCAAAATGCCACTGGCCCCCACAACTGCGCCAGCCAGAAACCATGGCTCATCGAGAGAACACACTTGTTCTGGAAGGGCGGTAAGAACAAACAAGGAAGGTTCATTCTTGTATGATATCGACACGCACCCTAATAGCTGTGTGCACTCAATAACCAGGAATGGCAGGTTCCAGAACCAGATGATCATGAATGCTGGAACTAAGTCCCCAAAAAAGCGAAGGATTTTTTGAGAACGCGTCGCCCCGGAAGGGGATATATAGTGAAACAGTCCAAGGCACCGCATGTCTTGGATCTTTTCCACAGTACGCATTGCCCAAATATCTCCTGAGTGAACTTCCTGAGCGTGACTGAGCACCAATGAGACTCTCTGTATTTTGGAACGCCTGTACAGCTTGTAAAGAATTAATGAAATACCGCATATCACCGTAATCAAGCAAACGTCAACGACGGGCACCAGCAGTTGAGCAAACTTTTGAAGATACCAGGACCTTTTGAAGTCCAACGGGAAGCCCAACTGGTCAAGGATGCAGAAGACCTTCGGATATTTGTTAAAGAGAAATATTGGATAAGTAAACACGATCCTGTAGAGCTGAGCCCAATCCGCCAGCGCAGACACGCTATTTTCTGGGAAAAAGCCGAACAGGTAAAAGAGAAAGAGGTTGGACAACCATATTCGAATTAGAATGGGATGTATGCATGCAGGGTTTCGAACAGCTAAACAACTAACTGCTGCAATTACCCACACGATTAGGCATAAAATGAATCTTGAGCCGAGAAGATAAGCGAATTCATACCAGACTGTCTCGCACTTCGTACAAACAGCTCCGTGATGTGCCATATCGTATCCTCTCTCACACGTGCTGCACAAATAACCCGAACCACCTTCAGAACATGAGTTTGACGGACCGCCATGGCACCGGTAGTCAACAGGACATGGGTGAATGTCAGGAACTCGGTCGTGCGGGTCTTGCACAGAGTCTGTGCTAGGGCCCTCGTCGTCGAAAGCAATGGCACCCTCGAAAATTCCTGCTTCCTCTTCCACTGGGTTCACTGTGAAGGGTAGCCACCGAGGCCTCCATGAATCTTCAGAATCGAGCTTGAATGTTGCAAACCACCCCTTCTGCGGATACGGAATAGTGTGATCTGCAATCGTGATGTTGGTGAAGCTCGGGTTCTCCTGGATCGCTTCGATGACGCTTTGCTTGAAGCCACCCACGCAAACCCCACCGGTAATACACTCGACACAGCTGAACAGGCCTTCGGAATCCTCTGTCTCCACTGCATATCGCCCCACCTGGCAAAAGCACTGGCTCTTGCTTACTGCTCCAGGGTATGTTTCAGCATCTTTCATACACCTACCCGAACAAGGAGAGTTTTCCTGTAGTTCCTTGTACGTGCCAGGAGGGCACTTGCTGCAAGTGAAGTATGAATCCGACGACACCGCAACGTCAGATGACCGACCATAAGCATAACCAGCCAGGCAAAGGCACTTTTCAACAGAATCTGCATTCACTGTAGACTGTGGGACGCTAGAGCCCTCAATGCACTGCTGTGGAGGCATGTGAGTGGAGTTCGTGGGTGGGTCCTTCCACAGGCCTGGACAAAACATCCCCGTGTGGCAAGGCATACAGACGCCTAGCTCCACTACCTTCTCCAACTGTTCTCGAGTCTCTTCTTCAAGCCATGGCAATTGCCTTAGCTGTAACACTGATACTTCGCCCGCAACAAGTGGTTCCAAGCCACCGTGCTTGCTCAGTTCCCGAATCGATCTGGCATGAGAAACTGTCTCCAGCGCCGCAGGTTCAAGTTCGACTGGTTCATCATTGGCAGCAGCCTCTACACTCCTAGCTTTTCGCAACTGCTCAGAGTCCGGTGTAGTGCCAGCTGGTGCCATGTACATGCCAGCTTGACAAGCACATTCGTAAGCACTTGTGCTTGCGGTGATGCTAGTCGTGAAAAATTGTGGGCACTCAGTGCATGCAATATTCTCCGTGGTATTCTTGTAGAAGCCCAATTTGCACTGTTCGCAAACATGTCCCACAGGCTCCCGGCCTGGTAAGCACAGACAGTGCTCCCCAGAATATGCCCCCGTACTCAATGTCACTGCATAATCTTGGCACTCAAAAATACTGGCATCCTTGTCTCCAGGGCAGAATGCGTTTTGTGGACACTCAACATAGCGAAACCTTTGCCAAGTAAGTTCGTCCTTTACGCGTCCCACGACACACGCCACCTTCTTGCCAAGCTCTACCTGTAGAAGTGCAGCCACACACAATGAAGAGGAAGGTTGCATTCTACACCAGCAGCGGGAGAATGCGCGCAAAAGGGAGTGCATCTGCTGTATAATATATACCAGGGCCCGTTTGCATCACTGGCCCGTTTGCATCAACAGTTAGCATCTGAAATGCAGAAGAATCCAGACTTGACGTACTTCAGTGCCCTCCCAAATATCGCTCCAATTCTCGACGTCTGCTGCTGCGGCTGAACCGAACATATAGAGGTGGCAAGGCCAGTATGCATAGGTATAAATGCCCGTGTAGTTCATTATACTGTTAGTGTAAGTTGGAAACTTGTCTTCCTTGGAAAACGAAAAGCTGGTGCAATACACATTCTTCAGGCAAGCGGCCTGACAATCTTCAAATGATAGTGTATACTGCATGGTGACGAATTCGGGCATATCGTAATCTTGCACTGAAGTGGCGTTCTCCTTGCAGAAAACATTAATGGCTAATAGGTCTTCTGCAGCGAAGGACTCATAAGCCAGCTCCACGTCCTTAGCAAGCTCAACAGCTTCCAAGAAGGTATCTGCATTCGGGCTAGCTGCATCACTCCCCTCATCATCAGAAAGAGCCTGTAAGTTCTCTAAGGCACTGAATCCTGGCATTGCAACACAGCTTGTGATGCTGGATGACATAGTAGATTTAGTCATGGAGTTAGATGGACATGGGATGCACTCAGCGTCTACGCCTTCCATATGCTGGAAGTAATTGACCGGGCAAGGCGCGCAGGTTAGACTCAGATCAAGAGGATTTCGGCCCGTGACCCTTCCGTACCCCTTTGGGCACCTGAAACGCATAGATAAGGTAGCAATTTACAGTGCTGCAAAAGCACTCGAAAGACACGTATGCAGCGAAGACAACCACTCATGGTGTAGTAACCAGTGCATAGTTCATTTACTGAATTAGGCGGCCAGTTCGACATACTTGCACTGGAATACACTCTCAGCCCCAACTCCAGCCGTAATTGAGTTGCTTTTGCAAGACATCAACCCTAGCTGGAATCCAGGACAATAAAAGTCCTTCTTGCAGGGTACGCAGCCCCCAACTGACACATAGTCAAAATAATATCCGCTGGCACACACTTCGCATTCTGACTGTTGAGAGGCGCCGCGCTTGCTTGAAAACATCGATGTTTGCGGATCAGACGTGGAAAGGAGGGGGCTGTCGGCTGCAGCGCTGGAAGCCGGCTGAGGACATTGTGTGCATGCTTGATCTCCAATGATTGGCTTATACGTGAGAACATCACAAGGAACACACTCGTCACCCTCGCGGTAGTATCCAACCGTGCACACACAGTCACTAAACTTGGTGCTTGCTGTGCTCGGCGTTGTTTGATTAGTGGGGCACTGGACGGGTGGAGACAAATCGCCTGCACAGTAGGTTCCAACCTGACAGCTTTGACAGCCACCCTCCGTCAGATAGAAGCCTGGCTCGCTGAACGCAAATTGAACAGAGGAAAAATGTTTCAGTCCAAAAAGAGAGACTCACATCAATCGCCGACTTTCAGGCACAGTTTTCGGGGAGCCTTCTCACCACTGGCAGTTAAGGTCTTCCAAACTCTCTGCGCCTGTCTTTTCGCTGTACATATGCTGAGGGCAACGCCCTGTACACTTCGCGTCTGCTGCTATAGCTTTGTATGTACCTACGAATGCCCAAAACCACACAGCAAATCCGAACAAGAAAGAATGTGGTCTAAAATACAATCTGCAACACTCAACCAAGAGACTACTGCGGGACGCAACAATCAGATTTTCCGCACCTGCAGGGCATGGCTGGCAGTAGCCGAGTTGCCCAATTTCGAAGCCTTTAATGCAAGCGCACTGCGACAAATTTGTAGATCCGGTTTGTAGAGTGGTACTGTATGCCCTGTGGTCCTGACAATGCTGTAAGTCAGTTTCTTCATCACGAAATGTCCCTACGGGACATGGCTCACACTTGTTAGATGTCTCGTTGAAGTACTCCCCTGACTGGCATCCTGCTTCGAACTCAAAAGACCATGTGTACGAACCCAATAGATCACCGCCAACAATCACCACTCGCGATGTTACAGTCGCCGTAAGAGTTCCCTGAATTTCTCCTGTTTTCGAGTCAAGGGTAAAACCAATTGACTGTAAGGGATCTCCTGCTTCTGCATCCTCCTTGAAGAACTGGATGGCCTGACCTGATAAAAAGAGAAAGAAAACAACATATTCCCAATGCATTTTGCTGGGATGTGCAACGGCAAGGTAAGAATTGTCAGCAACCGCTCGTGCTCGAATTTTGCAGGCCTGCGGGAGTAGCAGCACCACAATGTAGCATACCTGTCACCAAGGGTAAAAAGCGGTACCGCAGTCCAGCTTGCAGCTTCTTGCTGAAATCCGGGTAAGTAAAGTAGACGTTGTCAATCAGTTGGCTAAGTGTGACATATGCAACTTCGGTCCGCCCAAGCTCTTGTTCTACTGACCATTGTTTTGACGTCAAAAGCATGACTTCATCCATGACGCGCAGACCGGTTATGAATTTTGTTGCCCCCAAGGTAATCTGCCTATAAAACGAGATGCCCATATTGTCTATGCTCAGAAAAGTTATTCGATCAGAGACGAGCTGCACAAACAGGAAAAACACAGCTGCTTCAAAGCTTGAAAACGTCTCAGGGGCACTTCGTCCAGTCCCGTCAGAGCAATCCACCGCTAGTGGCTTACCTCTCCAACGACAAGCAGAGGATTCATATTTTCCTGCATAGAATATGGCGTGATGAACTCTGCAACACAAAACGGGCGGCTTACGCCCTCCGCACTGCTGAAGTCAGACTTCTGTGTTCCGAAAACTGAAGTCCATTCCCTAGTTATCTTTCCTCCATGAATAGTCTTTTCCAGGTCATCTGGCAAGACCTTAAGCCTGCCTATGATGCCCCCCACAGTGTCGGCGACGAATACAGAAGTTTCATTGCCATCAATGTTTTCTATTGCCTAGAAGAGCAATAGTGCAAAAACAACAGCCAGAGCAACTTTAAAATCGCAGTTCTACTCTTCCTGCTAAACAAATGAGCCTCAAGTGGCAGGAAGAAAGACCGTACACAAAGCTGAATGCGCAAAACTGGACTCTAACCTGGATTCCTCCAGCTGAAAGCAGCGTTGGATTCGTTGGCTCGTAAAAAATTATCTTTTCCGGGTTCTTCACACTAAATGATGTGATCAAGTGACTATCAAAGCTTGTAACAAAGACTTGGTCGCCCGCACTGGTCAAATCCGCTGGGTACAGTACACCATGGTTGACCACAGTACGTGATTGTGGTTGTTTCGGGTCGAGCACCAGCATATGGGTTGCTCCTAAAACAAAAACCTGCTGATCCTTTGTCGCGTGGCACGCTAGCACGTTTCGCAGTTCCTAAATCAAAAAAGCAAAAAAGTACGCAAGAACAACGCGCCTGTCCCCTGAGAGGCTCAATGACAACACAACAACTTTTTACGCAGTATATCTTTTCTGAAAAACGTGATCACTCCCTTCCACGTACCGGCAGCTCGCGGAAATTCTCCGAAGGTGTTGGATGGACATGCAGCGTTGAGTACTCCGTCTCTGTCCCCGGATTTCCCACAACGATCTCCGCCATCCACAAGCCCGTACCATCTGGCAACCAAACTAATGGTACTTCCCTTACTTGCTCCTTCTGAGAATCTTTTGTCCCTGTGACACAAGGTAGGACAAATGTCCTGTGCGTATCATACATGTCCATACCGGACTTCAGGAAATAGGTAATGACCTCGACCGTCCCAGCATCAAAAACTACAGAAGCACTGGTATTCTTGATGCAAATCTTGTGCCAGCCCGCTTCTTGTGACGGCTCCATCCTGCGGACGACACCAATACGTCCAGAGACGCAAAATATAGTCCCAATGAAGAGCCGGCGAGCCCTGTTCTGCGTTGCCACTTGGGAAGGAGCCTATGTCGAAAGCTCTCCTACAGTGCTCAGGTCGAATAGACACCTAATGAGCAGCTGAACAGCTGGTTAGGCAACACCCAACGAAACTCCGCCTCTGGAGCAGGTTTCCATGCTCCGCAACTGCCTACAGTGGCCTCCTGACGGCTTCTGGTCATCCTCTTGTGAGTAAAATCTGGCGAATGCTGACTACTTCACAGAGAGCCTTTCGTTTATTCGTTTGAGACTATTTATTTTCGTGAACAGCAATCCGTCTAAATGCACGTATCGAAGAACTTCCTACGCTTACCGAAGAACCATGCGGTTTTCCGACACAGATGCAGTGGTTATGCCAATACCGCTCTGTAGATCCGGATTTTCAAATATTTCAGAGCACTCCCTCATTTCGCGGCTTAGTCCAAGCACTGGTTCGTATGTATCAGTAGCATTTATGACTCCATTAATCACTACTGTATCTTCGTGTCCCAGAACCACGTTGTGGACGCCTTGTTGAAAACCTGAGCCGACAGACAACAACGCCCCCAGAAAAATTAAGAACCTGCTGCTCAAAGAACAAACCTAATTCATGGTCGAAATGCCCTTGGAGGTAGCAGTCACAGAAACCGCTTTAACAATGCACTTTATACTGTTTAGGGGATGGGGAAAAAACGTATACCCGTTTGGGAGAAAAGAGACACAAAAAACCAGGTCTTAGAATCAGCTGCCGGTGCCGATATCTCGTCTAGAGAGGCCAGCATATAGTGTTCTGGTTCGAACGGGGGGGAAAACTCCGGCCCATCTTTCTCTGTAAAATTTCTCCTAACACGTAACAAGTCTTCAGTCGAGACGAAGCTTGGAGCAACTCTCGAACGCGCCATTGATGTTGCCATAGACGACGTGTCGTCACCAAAAGACCAGCAAGCAACATACTGTTTACCTACAGCAACCCCTACTGAAAAATACTGTTCCGTTCCGTCCGAATTTACAGCATCAGGGAACGTCGTAATTCCTTCGTTCAAATGAAGGGCTGCAAATACGTGCAAGACGCAACGCATCCCAACAGTGTGCAGACATAGTGCATAGAGCACAAACTACTTCGGATCCACGCCTAGGAAAGTCGATACAAATAGCTCGAAACGAAATACTTACGGTCTGAGCAGATATTAGCCTCTTCTTCCGCAGTTGTCTCCCCTTCTTCTGCATACTGAAAATACCTAAGAAGGTTCCGTGTTGACAGATTTGTCCCCCGGACTATAAGGTATTCTCCATGCTCATCAGAAGCTGAATATTTGAAAATAACGCAGACAATAGCGCGACAAAACGCGGAAATCTTGCTCAACTGGGCCCAGCATGCACGCATCGACGTCAGCAAAGAAGCATCCAAAACAAAGTGGAACACAACATGCCGGCATGAACAAACTCACCAACCAGCTCGACATTTCCCTTAGAAGGACCACGCGTCTCCAGGTATCCAGCTAGCACTGACATGCTCCCTGCAGACCCGCAGGCTGACTCCGTTGAGGTACAATAGCATATTTTCAACTTCCCTTCCACTGACTCCTTAACGCGCATTGGCCAAGAAACCCAAATCAATTCCGTCTCGCCCGTAACCTTGTTTTCTGATTCTGAAAATGCCTCAACGGTACCCAGGCTGTTCAACGTGCGACCCTCCTCAGACATTATAAATTCAGGGTCCATGTTCTCCGTCCCAGCTTCGCCACAGTTGTCATTTGGACCGCGAATCGTAATGGAATCACTGCTTTGAAGCGTCGGTCCTGTCAGTTGCACGGTAAAGTAGCTGCCAACCACTATCCGTGGTATAATGAAAGTGGGACCTGAAAAAATCAAGAGTGGATAGCTTGTGCATACAACGGGAGGCATATTCCTCCATTTTCACCCTAACACTTGAAATGTATACTGCAGCACAACGTACCTGCTACGGCAAAACGGCCAAGTTGTACAGTGAAATTAGCTGCAGCTGAGCAGTCTTCACCAGGACACCAACAAAAAAGTCCCTGGTCGATCGAGAATGGAGCATAGACATCTTTAAACGTTGCCAAGGTTCCGCCATTCGAGACGGTGCCGATGAATGTGGCCATCAATGGCTTCTCTGAGCTACGACATGTAAAATGAGTGCCCGTAAGGACATCGAATGACGGTGACAGCATTATTACTGGATTTTCGCCCAAACGAACCCCTTCGACGTCAACGGGGAATCGAACACCTGCCCGATAACGTGGAGGAGCGTCGTATTCTAGGGGTTTCGGCCCTGAGACAAGCGAAGCATCAGTAAGAGACTCAATGCCGCTTGGGGGAGCTCGCCTCTCAGAGCATGAAAAACATCAAATAGCCACCCTTGTGATTTAACCAAAATCCTACCAGCTGAGCCCACCCTATCATCTTTGCTCTGCAACGTACCTGACAATTCCCAGGCTTGTACAAGAATCTGGAAATGATCTGCTGCTGAGCAACCCATTATGTTTCCGTCACAGAAGCAAATGGCAAACAGGTCACCCACGGCGGCTTTCGTTGATAATTCGTCAACGATAACGAGCACATCCTCCCACAAAAGAATGCTGCCCACCTCGCCATCCTTTACGCCTGTAGGAGGCCCTGTAGAAAGTGAATCCTCAAAAGCCTTCGGCGCAGAATAAAGGTCGCTCTGCTGTTTGCAATCATAATTATTGAAGATGTCATCCCCCTTGTAAGGGTACGCCCGGATCCGGTAGTTTGCTGCTTCCTCTTGGGAAACAACAGTGCTCATTGCAACCTCGACACTGAATCTTTTCCCAACCACAACTGGCAATATCTCCTCCGATGTAAATGGACCTGCAATTGGAGGAGGCTTACGAAAAAGTTAAAATATGAGCAGAATACACGGCCTGCCACATTAATACAACGTTATTGTGGCATAAATGCAAGCTGGCTGCACACGTAGACTTTTTTTGAAAGGGCCTGCCCTTCAGGTGATCCGAGTTTGATTCGGCATACCTTCTACAGTGAAAGTCCCGACGGCCACACCACTTGTGGCGCTATCGTATCTCCAACACATTTGATACCTTCCTGCTCCCAGGTCCACATTATCATGAAACATGAAAACAGACTCCCGAACTACGTAGGTGATAGGATAGTCCGCGTCTTGAGATGTCACTGGCTCGCTGGTTGCAGTGTCGCTAATGTAGGAACCACCCGAATGGAGAACCGTCCCATATTCTCTGCAATCCTCCTGCATTAGTTGCAAACAACAGCAACGACGGTGCTTTCGCATGAACACACTTTCCTTTCCTAGAAAGTGTGTGAGGAAGAGGCTAAAACGGTGTACTTGTATGCTTCCACTTAAGGCTCTGTTGACTTACTTTTTGGAGGTAAATCTGACTTGACGCCCACTGCTGCCTGGTTGCGCCAGAATCCACTGCAATGTAACGAATAGTGATGTAGCAGACAGACCCTCGGCGGCATGTGGATGGCGTATCTTGAACAAGTGGGCCATTTACGAAGACCTGTCCCACTTTCAATGCGTACATCGATGCGTCTCTACAAACTGCATCAGAAGTTTGTGAATCCCCAAACGGATCTGACAGCCCCGCAACCGTGTCGTGGCACAGGCACACCGAAAGAACACCCTCGCCTTTGCTAAAAGGCGCCCATGTTGCCATGCCGTTGCTGATCGGTGCGAAGCCCTGCAAATTCCATGCAGGGTCAGGTGCACCTGTTTCACAACTGTCCCCCTTTTTAAGCAGTAAGTAAAACTTGTCATCGAAATCTCCGTTCAAAGGCAGGAGAATGTCCGACGCTGCAAAAACTTCCACGTGGCGTGCCTTTGAAGCTGGACCCTTCAATTTCAGCGTTCCTACACGCCACCCGTAGTCTTGCAATTGGGTGCACTGAGTTCCACTACAGCCACATATTTCGAGAGAATCGGTACCCAACACTGCGTCACACACACACAACTTCCCAGCAGCATTTTTCCCCTCAAGGGAAAAAAATACATGTGTGGTGCATCCTCAAGCCTAACTAGCGCTCACAAGGTCAATTTCTCGTTTACATCACAGGAGGGGTAAGAATAATAGACTGGATACACAGAAGAGGCACGAACCTGGAAGAATTTCAGGTAGCGAGACTGATATATTGCTGGATTCTACAGTATCCGTATGCATGAGCCCGCCCTCAGGAACTCCGCTCCATGCAGTGCCCTGTGTGCCGCATCCCCCGTGAAGCAATGCCACGCCTTCGCTAACAGAGAGGTGCTGACCTTTAAGACCCAAAATTGTGCACCTCTCCCCGATGTAGCAAGTTGCATTTTGGTCAGGAAATATGCCTGAGAAGCAACTTGTACTCACAATATACAAGTTCTGTCTGTGAAGCAACTGCACATCTGTAGCTCCATATGTTTGCTGGAGAGCAATAATGAAAATACTGGTGGGAAATTTCCTCACCTGCGATTAACACCGTGCCAAATTTAGCTGAGTAAGCAGTGACAGAATCCCTTGGCTGTCCCATATCTTTAACTGCTTTCCAGCAAAGTTCAAGACCCTCCTGCATTTGGGCTGCTGAAAGCTTCAAAGGGTCCGCCCATCTGAACAAGATGGAACTTGAACTGCCACGGGCGGCTTCTGCAACCTGACTAAAGAAGCCAACGCCATCCACGTGATCCTCACCACAGTGGGGGAGCAATGCTACTCTGTCTTCTTCTCTCCAATTCACCACATCTACTGTGGCCTCGCAGGCACCGCCGACACGACAGTAAAGCTCATAATCATCCTTCCACGGGCCTGATAATGAATAAGCGAGAAAAACAACAGGCCATGGTTTCGACTTACTGAGTCAAGGTGCGCAACCTTGTCTACTTGGAGGTCAAACCTACTGCACGGTCGGACTACTACGCACCTGAAGGGATTAGAGAGGCAATCGCGACATATGGAAATGGCCGAGTGTCGACGACGTCTTTAGGAAGGCTAGAATCGTAGTATTCAAGGGTGGCTGCATCTCTGGATTCCCATGTGTCCTTCGCAAAGTCCTTGAAGCTAAAGCTACACGAGTCGGAATTCTCCTCTATTTTGCAGGGAACAGAAACGCCTCCCCGCGTGACCACAAGCTTGCGCTGGCTGTCTTGCTGATTCAGTGGACTCTTCACATTGAAAGGCACGCTGACACGGCTCACAATGGCCACCAGGAACTCGCCGTTCCACACGTCTGCACACACACACAAAGCGTGACAGTCACGCTTCCACCAAGTGGGCTAAAAAATAACGGGCATGACACTGTTCCATGGCGTTGAAATGACGGTAAGCCTCTCTGCAAAAAGCGCACCCTTAATTGTCAGCTGTCCAATATCCATCAGACGGTCCGGCGTGCATATTGTTGAATCAGTGCAGTAGCAGATTCTTTTCTGCAAGTGCGGGGTTCCACTTAGCGCCTTGTCCCGATCCACAAGAGAACTGAAGCCATAATAGTGCTCTTCAAATTCGGCAGTTGAGCGTGTTGTACTACCCTCTGTTGTTTGTGACCGCATGGACATCACTCCATCATCTGGGAGCTCAGCACTTGACGACTTTTCTGAAAAACATCACAGAAGGCGCTTTAAAACTGTGTTTTTTCTCTTTTGCGGGCGCGTGACTTTTACCACATTGCCTGGATTAGAAACTATTTCGGTGAAGATTTATCTCATTGTACGGTACGCTGCTCACCTGAGCAATCCGACCGAACGACAAGCTGCGGAGTGAATGACACAGGCTCCGTAAGAGGAATGTCTTCGATACGCATGAGGCAAGTGCTGTCGTAGGTACACTCGTGTGATACTCCTGCGACTGGACTATAGACCTGCAACTTGGTAATTTCAGAGTCGAAATCTTCCTCTTTGCTGCAATTCGTGTGGTTATCATAGCACCAGCAAAGAGAGAGTTGTTTCATGGTTGTCAGCTTGACAATAACTGATGTTGCGAAACTGATTTGGCTCTTCGAATCCCCTGAAAAGGAGACAAAGCAATTTCACGGGTGAACCAGATGCACATATATACTTTGTTGGTAAATGCCGCTGCTAGGCTCAGATGAAGCCTTGTCCGTGAGCTTCAGCAAGGCTGCTGCGGTTTCGGCGTACCTTTTGATGTCTCTACTGTTTGCGCAAAGAGAGGGACTGACGTCGTAGATGGTGAAAGTCCGCACTTGTCTGTATCCCTCAGGTACAGCTGGCGTAGAAAAGCAGGCAAGCTGTCGGCTGACACTTGGCTCGCAGCCATGCCTACGACGGCAATGCGGATTTTAGCGAGTAAGCCAGCATACAGAACGTTTGAGCTCTCTTTACCGTCAACGAATATCAGGTTACCAAGGAACGAGCCGGCCCAACTAGGAATAGTTCCACCAAAAGGCTCTTCCTGTTGAATCCAGCAAATTGCTAGGGCTTTGTCAACAAGACCTAGAGCCTGTAGGTTGCTGAACTCGACGCTGACCTCAACAAAACCATCTCCGATAGCCCCTGTTTCTGCTGGTATTCCAAGAAGCGGAGTGACACACGTCGATGGTGAGGCGCTGGTCATTTCGGAGAAATATATGTGCGCCTTTGCCTGCATAGTGGAAGGAAATCGTATCTTGCAGTGACCGCTTGAATTTTTTACGCACGCCACTTCCAGCTGCTGCATCGCTGAAGGAAAAAGACAGAGCAGTATCCACGTATGAACCATTAAACAACATCTCCTGGAAGTTCTGTAAGTGCCTTAGTGTCCCTATTTGTCTTGTCTAAGAAATAAGTTGATGTGGATTTCTAGATACGGTACTAAACAACCAGCCATATGCTACGAGGCAGCAGCCGCATTGTGAATTTTTATGACTCACACTGAACCTGCAGAGATCCAACGCGTTCGCTATAGTTGGTTGTTTCACAGTCAGGCGTCGAAAACTCATCGCACCAACACAGTTCATAGGTCGTAAGAGTCGGCTGCCCAGCTTGTATTGGTGATGGAAAAGAATACCTTTCTCCGCTGATTTGGGTGAACTGCCCTGGAAGCGCCCAAATAAAAACGACACTGATCTTTACTACACAATAAACAAGCGTGGCGCAGAATCAAGCTTAGCAACACAGCTCAGAGAAAAGCCGTCTTCTGTTCTATTAGGCAGTGTTCCTCCGCACCTTGATTAGGGAGCTCAGTTGGTACGCCAGCTTCATCTCCACACATTCCTTTGAAAGCCCTTATTTTTGGAGCGGCATCAGTTGAAAGTGCGCCCTTTGAAACAACGTTGATGTTGCATAATGAGCCGAATGTGCAGAACGCAGTGATCTCATCCACACCTGCGTAGAAGCATCACAGCACGCGGAATTCATTCCTACCAACTGTCAGTAAGACACCTACGGAACGGCTGTTGGCTTCTCGTAAGCTGGTCGGCAATACACTGCAAACTACTTGCGAAACAGCGGACAGAAGAGTGGACCAGAACTAGCCAAAACGCCTACCGTAGCCCAAAGCCACGCCGATTTGGAGAGTAAAATCTGCCAAGTTGTTCGTTGGCGTGCGCAAAGGGTTCCAACAGACGGCGATGTTTGCTTCTATTGGCTGAGGGGCAATTACGGTCATGCTCTCAACTGAAACACGGTCTTCCTCCTCTGCCTCCTGTACAAACGAGACGAACCTGTTCTTGATTTGCTGCTCCGTCTGTAACCGCTTGTGCGTCTGTGACTCTTTTACTCTCCTTGACTCCGCAGCCCTATACCCGAAATCTAGGTAGCTTGACGCGCCACCTAAACACCTCGGAGTTAGCAGCACAATTGATAAAAGCTTCCTGTAGGAGCAACTGCCAGTTAATGAGTTCATAAGACCCGCAACCTCTCCAGCAGCAGCAAACACACACCAAAGGCGTTCTACTTGCCAGGAATGGGGCTTACCAGCTCTTGAATTGTACCCTCGAGGATACTCCGTTACCAAGCCAATACCTGGGCCCTCGGAGCCCTGCAAATGCACGGAAAAGTGGCCCTCGGAAATTTCGCGTGGTTTCAAGCTTAGCTAACTTGCCTGCAGAATGCCACTACTTGCCGGCTCACCCCACATGTCTTCACAAATGCCACCCGACTTTGCTGATGATTAAAAAGCGCCAAATTGAACCCAGATACGATGAATGCACAAGGCTCAGATAGCCTACACCTAACTACGGGAAGAGGCTGCTCAATGATGGGGCCTGAGGTGCAAGCAGATATGCCACATATCAATGCAGCGGCTCGCGGAGCGGCGATTAGCACAGGCTGCAAAGCACCGGTGCAAAACTCTGACGTGCAGGGGAGATCAACGGACGCCGCAAACGCTATCGTCTAATATTATGCGGCGACCACACAGCACAAACCTCTAAGGGGTAAGCTGACAAAGGGAACAGAATCGGTTTTACTGCCAAGGCCATTTTTTATTACATGACTTCACACTTTGAAGTCCCTTAAACGCTCACCAGACCAGAGGAGCACTCCGACTTTTTTTGTGCATGGCCTCGTGCCGTTCTTTAGAGGGTCGTGTAGGCAAGAGGACATTGTCCAACACAGCGTTGCTCCAGCTAATGACCGTAGCCATATTATCTGCTCTTCAGTCACGCCAAAAATAAGTGTGTCGACTTCCGCGGTCTTAAGCACCAGCTTAGCCACGTCGTTAGTTGGGGTTTCAGTAGCCGTGGCATAGGACTCATCCGTCACGCTAGAAGGGCAAGCGACATTGCCTCGCAAGGCGTAAAGATTTGAATGCGGATCAAGGTAGGGGCGCTGCGATATATCCACAAAAAGGATGTCCCACTTATTGCTCCTACAACTAAAATGGGACCCCTCCATCGTAGCTACTGCAATTACTTCCACCACACTATAACAGATGAAACGACCATCGCGTCTGCAGACCTTTGTCACCGAACGAAAGAAAGCGGGTGAATGCTCTGCTCACCAGCTTGTCAAATGCATCGAAGGAGGGGCTTCTCTCATCTTCTTCCGGGACGCGATTGTCTAACGTGTAGTAAGTAGATACTTTTTCACCAACAAGTTTCACTTCGCATGGTTGAGTGGGGTCATCCGAACAGTTTGCTTCGCCGTCAGTAAGCTCTGTGGGAGCAGAATTCCCCGGTATGTTCCCTACGTACTGCCTGAACAGCAAAAGAAAACACACTTGTTCTGCTCCACTCTGCCCCAACTATTCCTGTGACAGAAAAATCAGCACAAGTTCTTTCTATGGAGCAACTGTCCGTGAAAACTAACTGTTGCAGTCAACTCTCCTGCTGTGGTAACTCAGGAAACCCAATGCATGTGAAAAAGTGCCACGCGTACGGAGATCCTGTAGTCGAGGCACTTGCATCGACTGCAATAACGCAAAGCTTGTGGCTTTCAGTTGGAAGCTCCGTTGAAAATGACAGTTCCATCGTAGAGTTTTCCGTATTCCACGCCGACGAATGCGGCATGATTGCATGCATATCCTTTATATTTAAACCATCGCATGTGTCATGCCCATCCTGCTCAACAAGCACTAGAGCCAGAGACTGTCCGTCGCGCATACCCTCCTGCGCTCCCAGAGTTATTTCCAAGCTGCAATGAGTCACGTCGCCGTCCGGACAGAAAACAGCTTGATCTGCAGGGCATTCAGTACAAAACGCACACAAAACTGATAGGCCTAACCCGGCGTATCCCCGTGTATATGCGTGTTTCCCCGTTAGGGGGTACCACGGTGTGTACCGTGGCTATTTGTGCACACTATGAACACACAGTCGACCTTCGGCTGCTACGTGCCGCACTAGCAGCTTCAAGCGCAGACAACGTAGCAGTGGCGAAACTCACCAATGATAGCCAGAAGGGGCAAGATTTCTAATGTTCCTAAGGACTCTGAATACGCTGACGGATCTGTGTTGCGCGCGACCTCCGGATTCCAGCAAATATGGTACAAGCCAGCCGCGCCGTAAGGGACCCAGAATGTAATACTGTCGTCTGAAATTCCGTCACTATTGGCAGCGTTATCTTCACTGGCCGATTTTGATGTTTTGAAAAGCTCCAGCATCACTGGAACCATGTTTTGTTCAACAGAGCGCTCGCCGTCTGTAGAGACTTCTGCTTCTGAACACGCAAGCACCAATAAAGACTGTCCTTTACAGGCGCCGTAGCTAGGTGTGACTGCAAGTACATGGACGCAAGTAGATGGACTAACTGCCAGTTTTCAGATTTTTGAAAAACTTTCTGTCTGTCACATGGTCTGATATGCACTTCTGTCAGTGCGCTTCGTTAACTAGGTGGGTAGCGTACCGAAACAATGATAGACTCCCACCAGTTTTCGAGAGCCTGTGTCACCGCATGTGTCCGGAATCATCAAATATTTGGCGATCATGTGAACCTCGCCAAATTTGATGGGCTCTTGAGCCAACGGCACGAAACTGCAGCTCCTTCTTCCTCTGCAGTTCATATTTAGAATGTCAGCCACGTCCACCTCGCCACAGACGTTTCGTGAGTCCACCCACTTGGCTTCAATAAACTCCAAGGCAGTGCCGCGTTTGCAGTCAGTGTGAAACGCATTTCCAGGCAATGCCCAAAAATGCACTGAGGGTAGCCCAGCAGACGTATATAGCAGTACGGCAGTCCACTTAAAAGTTTTAGTAAATTCTAACAAACTACAGGACTTGCAGTCAGCAACAAAAGTCTTGCTTGCTTCTGCTCTATGGGGCACAAATATGAAAATAGACGAGTGCAAGAGCTATGGGCATACCGGGCTGCAAATCCCGATCCGTCACGAATTCTCTTCGCACGCTAGACCCTACTCTTAAAAAACTAGTAGACCCAACGTTGGCCGACCGCAGCTCTGCTGTTCCGATGCCCTGCGCTGTCCCGCAGGCCTGCAGTATAGCCACCCTACTGAAGGAATGGTCCAACTCCGTGAGGTTCTTCCCTTGAATTGTAATTGAGCATACAGCATTCTGAGGGCACGTTATTTGTAAGGGTTCTCTTGGGTAGAGAGGTCCCAGCCAAAGTGCTCTTGCAATTTCAGTTAGCTTGCGAGTTGTGTCGTCCCTCCAGCATATCGTTGCTGAACCATTCTTGGAAAGCCAGGCCCTTGCATCTCCGAAATTGTAAGCCACGTAATCATCTGCTTCGAGCTCAGCTGAAAGACGCAAAGCCGCGTCGGCATCCACCTGGGAGGGGTTCGGGGCCGCTGCCATCTCATAGATATTGCTATCCTCATCCGGACAACCGGAGTCCCCAGGAAGCAAAAACACACTTGCTTGGCTGGAGATAATCCATGGCTGAAGTTATGCAAATTCGGAACAAACACGCAATGTGAGGATGAAAATAGTACGCATAACGGGGCAGTCCACAAGCACAAAAATACTGGTTTTCGCCAACAGACGTTAGTCTTTCTGTAAACATACGCAGTACGTTTCCTTGTGCACTGACCTCGTTATGAGGAAAAAACGAAGAGTCGTTAGGTTGTGAGGGAGTTACACTGAAGTGACAGCTGGCAGGATATGTTGTGCTTGACATGCATGGAACGAAACCCAGTGAGACGGCTGTCTCCGATACCGTCCCTCCTAGTTTCGCCGCGACAGGTCCCGGGACGCTTATCAGTGGTGTCCTGCACAAACAGATTGAAAAAATAAAGCCATTTATGTGTGCAGTGTGACTATGACGTGCAGAATGAAATATTAAAGCTTGCAGATGACACACAGGAAGGCCAGAAATCCATTCGCGCCTCACCATGTTGTGTTAAGGACTGTGGATTTGGGACCGAAAAAAACAGTTTTCCAGCAATACGTATATGGCTCTGCAGCTGACTCCACCTCAAAGGACATGACAGCCACTGAAGCGTTGAATGAGCCATCTCCACTCTCTTCAGCTGAGTCTTCACGGCGGTTTCTGACGGGTTGTATCTCGATTGTAGTCTCTTTGGGTTGACGAAGAGACACTAGACTGCTAGAGGCACAGTTCGAACCGTCAGTAAAGGGCGCTCTGGCCATGCCGCACCAAATACCCTGATCTGGAACCTGACGCCCAAACGCTTCAGCTGCTTCTTTAACCAAAAGAGCATTTACTTCAATAACGACACTGGCCGCAACCGTGGACTTTCTGGAGACAGAGAGTCCTGTGGTGGAGCAGGGACACCAGGCAGATTCACTGAGCGGTACACAAGAGTCATCTGGACTAAAAGTGCTGCGCTGCCATATATAACTCTTGCCTGCCGACGCCTATTAGCGAAACACAAATCGATGCCTACCTGTTATGACGGGAAAAGGCGGGAATGTGATGGTAGTCAGCTGCAAGTTAAAGCTCGCCTTCTCCACCGCTTCAGCCGTGGAGGGCTGCACGTTCTTGGCATTCCAGCAGACCGCCAGTCCCCAACCAGCTGTTGCAGGTATTGCAACGGTTGCTGATTTTTGTTCTACATTAATAGTCTCTCCTAGACTCCAAATGTCTGCGGCCGCGTCCTGAAGATTCCAGCCAAGGACATCAATGAAAACAATAAAAAATGTACACCCAGGCGAAGCTATCCCCAGTTCTGATAGCCATACACGAGTTGTTAGGAATCTTACACCGCAGCGACTGGTGACCGCCACTCTTGGGGTAGAAAAGTCCACCGAAGTCATTTCGAATCCCGGGATAGTGATGTTGCACCGGCCAGACTCCAACTCAGTGCAAGTTTGTGCACTCAAGCTCGTTGAGACGACGGGCCCGATCCATTTGGCAGTTCCAAGTCTTTTCACGCACCGTCCAGAGTCAGGGTCTTCGCAGTCATTATTCTGTAGACACAGAGCTCCAGAACCAAGTTTCTGGAGGATAGGAGAGGAGCGATTGATAGAAATTGTCACGGAATCGAGGGTGAACGTTCCGGAGACATTCTCTGCAACCAAAGCATCTTGCTCCGGAGTCGTAGAGGGGCTGATAGTCCGTAGATCAGATGGGCAACTGTCAGAGGGAACCATCATCACAACCATGCTTGCAGGAAGCAACGCAATCTGCAATGAACACAAAAGAGCAATTCAAAAAAAACAAGCACTCCGGTCTAGGGTTTCCTCATTTCAATGGAAGAACAAAGTACCCACAATAGAAGTCATTCGTCGGACTGTAGAAGCTGCAAGTTGACTCACAGTCTGTAATGGCTCCCCCTTTGCATTGAGTGCTGAAGGTAACTGGAACGATGCTGTCGCAGTGCATTCTTCTTCCGCAAGACTACAGATTGCTTCGAGGTTGGCTGAGGGGACTTCAACCCCTGGGAGCCTTCCAACGTAACTCCTGACGGCGAAAAACCGAGACGCAAGTCCAAGAGGCATTCTTTCGTGTCAAAGTGAGCTCCAGTGACTGATACAGCAGCAGTCCACAAACTCGAGAAACCCATAGAACAGATACGGCAATGCCGAACTCACGTAAAAGGAGTGTCCTGCGAGACGCTCCCTGGGAGCAAAAACTCGACCCAGCAGACGGATGTGGCTGCTTTGGTAACAGCAGATACGACTGTTACTGTAAACGTCTCGCTGTCCGTTTCTGCAATGTCACTAATCGACAAGTAGGATGAAATCATGCCATTCTCCGCATCCCTTGCAAAATTGCAGGTGTCTACGTTCTTGTCTGTTGGGGCATCCTTAAAGTAGACCTTTACGGAGCCAAGAATTTGCGGGCGAGTCAGTGCAACGTCCATTATAATCTTCATGACCCTCTCCTCTATATCCGTAGCATCCGCAGGGACTAACTCCACAGCTGCGCGACACAAGAAAGGCATCCGCGTAGTTGCAGCAAAAAAAAACCTTCATGAGTAAGCACGCTCATGTGTGAAAAATGTCCATTCAGCTCGACTGCTGGCTAAATCCTTGCAGCATTCGACAGTGGGCTTGAACGCTAGATGCGGAGCATTTATCTGCAACGAATCGCCAAGGATGCAAATATAGAGAAGCCGCTTTCCAATTACATGGATCCGAAGGCGAGAGACTTAACAGTTGTGAAGCTCGCTTCGTGCTTGACTCACACCTCAACAAGGGGCGCTTGACAAAGATGACGTGGCCTACAGATATCGTGTGGTCCAGAAGATTATGCATTGAGCCGGCTGAGGGGTTCCAGCAAAGTTCGAGTGAGTCGCGCGTCGTCGTGGAGTTAAGAACGAAGACAACTCTGGCAGATGTGTGCCCAGAACTTCTTGCGCGAGACATGTCACCGAGCTGCTCACTATCATCATCTGGAGATCTCGCTAAGGCTTCTTGGAAGGCAGCAGGCGCTGAAGCATAGCACTCCAACCCACGCCTTACAGCCTTACATGATGCCAACACAAAAGCAATACTAACAGCTCTTCTAAGATCTAAAGAAAGAAGGCTGCCCTCGTCTAAACGTGCTACCAGTATTCCTTGTAATTAGATATCAAAGCAAGACGCCAAATGCCAGCCTTCCAAAGAACTGCGTTTCAGCAAGTAAATGAGAATCGTACCTCCAGCAGAGTCGGACAAAGCGCCACGGAGCTTTCCATTCAAAGCACCGGTGCCGTCACTTGAGATCTGGATGAAGCTGCCATCAGATGGCTTCGAGAGGTCTACGGTGTCAAAGGTACCAGATATTGGCAGACTTCCTTCCCCAGAAATTCTCTGTGAAGCAAGAGGTAAGATCGAATCAGATACATGCACCAAATTGAAGAAACCTACGCTTCACTTTCAGAAAATGAATTCCACTCAACAGAGAAAACTCCAACGAGCCAAAAGCCGTGAGCCTTCACAAACTGAATTTTGGAAAGAGGTACGCAGTAGAAGGCACTCCACCAAACAAGAGTGTCTGCATAACTCTAAGTGTCTGCACAACTCTTCCGAAAACGCGCGCTCACCCCACAAGTGTCAAGCGCTGCGAGTCGACTGAAGTGCATACTGAGAAATTCCATATTCTTTCCTTGGACTTCAATGTTGCACGACTTCCCACGGGAGCAAAAAATAAACTGTTCATACCCCTTGGTTGGGCCTGAAGCAGCCGAAGGCAAAACCCACCGCAAATATTGAATCTACATGCTCACAAAAGCCCTGCAAATTACAAAAGCAGATTTAGCTTGGGCACGAGCCATAACCAACGAACTGGACAATAGGCATTGTGAAGCCCTCAGCTGAGTCTCCCCTCTGCACGCCCGCTCGCTTGTAAACTCCCTTTAAATACCTTCTTACCTGTCCATCTCATATACCCAAGCCGCATTGTGCACATTTCGCTCTCCCAGCACACATCTGATGGGTCTTCCAGCCCTTCCTGAGTCAAGCAAATGGTTGCCTGTCCAACCTCCGCAACCCACTGCTTAAGCTCGTCTGGGACGGAAAACTGTAGCATGCGGTCGTCAGCGTGAGTCATCGTCATTGAGATGGCGTTCGCCTGCAGAAGTGCAGACGTGTTCTTGGAATTGCCACCAAAAGCATCGTAAAGAGGGTCTGATGGATCCCGTGGGCACTGCACTTGCCCCTTAAGCAGCTTGACGGCAACAGTGCTTGGGAAAAACGCGGACTGCAAGACATCCACCCGCAGAAGTAAGGTTCCCCTGCTAAGTTTGCCAATTCCAGAAACAAAAAAATACATATTGCTCCTAGCTCCGGCTCCGATTGGAGCAGATTCGTGATGTGAAGGTAACGAACGTTCTCGCATTCTGCTGGTAGCTCTAGAAAAATCAAGAATCATGACTCACATATGGCTGGTCTACTGTCCCTGGGTCGGGGTATAGACCTATAACGCAGTCTCCTTTCGGGGCCAAAGAGCACCGAGCCTCTGCAGCCGTGATTTTTTCCGGTTTAGTGGGTACGGGAATCTGCCCCAGCGACGTGACGTCCGTGTAGAATGAGAAGATAGGTCTCATCAGGCACAACTTCATTCGCACAGTTGGTGCTGGAATCGTAAATATCAGCAGCTGTTCTTCCGAGTTGTACTGGCCCGTATACCTGTCGCCGTTGGAAGCCAATTTGCCAAGGTATCCATCACAGCTCGTGTCATGCGCATAATCGGCCGTTACAACAATTAGCTCAACAGCATCGGCGTTCGAGCTAGAGCTAAAGCCCTCCACTGCCACCTCAATGAAGGCATTGTTTATCTTGTTGTCTGGAAACGTGACGACGAAGTCTGTGAAGTCGCAACACCAAAGCCAGCTCTCTCACTGAGATGCACAGTGTTGACAGCAACAAACTCAGCAGCTATCTGTTAAATGTGCGCACCATTGCGCTACCAACAAGAAATGCATATTCACACTCTCCAGGGCAATTATAAACCCAGCCACCTATAAAAATATGGATGCATTTTAGGAATTTCATGCGCTCGGCCATTCACAAAAGCGAGGATATATGGAATACGGAAAAGCAACGGCGAGCCCTCGAGCACACCCATCAGGAAAAAACAGAAAATTTTCCACTGCCCACCAAAATACCGATGTTCTTACTGTTAAGCTGAATGCTCCACCATTCTGCAGTGACAAACATAGACAAGACACACACACAAACATGCATGAAGCGGACGCATAAGTATGGGGCACATGTGAAGGTAGAACAGCAAGCTGCAACTGACAGACGGTGGGACATGGTAAGCAAAAGCTGGTTAGAAGCCGCTGCCATTATACACAGGCAGCACGGCACCAATACATCAAAATACAATGCATGGCTAGAGAGTTTAATAGGCCAGCCGCTTACTCGCTTGCGCAAAGCTGATGCCGTCTGAAAGCGACAAAGAGATGGAAGCAATTAGGCAGACACACACAGATAAACGCGAATATTGTTTAGTCAACTCGAAACTACAAATGCCTCCCTAAATGGCATCTACCCATTTAGCTGCCCTTCAGCTTCCCTACGCATCCCAACAACTGCGCCCATAAGCTTAACCTCCTGAATGGCAAGCGCCGCAGCCATTCACTGACCAGCATACATGTCTTGCCCAGGAGTTATCTTTGCTGTAAGTAACAAAAGAGACAGCCGCAACAGCATAAAGCCAGGCTTTGTGAAAGAAACAAATTTGCAGGAGTTGAAACCGACCAGTTTCCTACTGGAAATATCTGGTAAAAAGCGGGGTCCACTGAAGCCCACCTGAAACAATCAAAGTTCCCAGTATAGATCCGTTTCCGCAAATCGCGTACTTGAAGCTTGTAGGGAGGAAGGGAGTGACCTGAACCTCTGTTTTTCCGTTGACAGAAACCCTCATTGTGACGCCAGGCCTTGAGCAGACGGCTGCACTACCTGCCTGATCTTCCTTCAAAGGAACTATGGATAGAACAAGAGGCCTTTCTGAAGGGGCCTCGCTGTGGACAGTAAATTTGCAAGAGTCATTCGTGAGCTTGTCTCCGCCGACTTTGCAGAAAACTAACTCCCCCGATAATTCGTTTGGGTATGGCTCTATCCACAAGTCCAAATTTGACACTGCGGCAAAACTCTGCAGGGGCCTCAGGGATACCTCTGGCAAATTTGCACACGTCGCCGCGTCTCCTATGCCAGTGTTCAGAGAGGCACTGCACTGCTCTTTGCTGCTGTCAATCTGAAGAAGCCCCCGAAGATAGCCAAACTCCTTACCATCGACGCAAGCTATGGCTGAGTCACCAACTTGCACTGGAGAGCAGTAGCACACTTCATACACGCCAGCTGGCAAGGCCTGGAAGGCGCTGTCCTCCCCGATGGCAATTTGGTGTTTCAGGGGCCAAGGGCCAGCAAGCAAAGCCCCAGACCCACAAAACGTCATGAGAGCTAAGTAGCCCGTCGAGAAGGGCTGGTCCCTCGGAGGACGCAATGCAAGTGTTTCGCCCCACCAATCCACTGCTGGAAGCTCCAGAAGCAGCCGGCAATCTTTCAACTCTGTGCACCTCACCAAGGGAAGATCCCTGGCCCCACGGCTTCCCTTTGACATCATTACAGGGCCTGTAGCGCATACAGAGGACTTTATACTTGTAGATGGTTGGTGGAGAAAACGTTCGCTACAGGCCGTTGACCTTTATCACCGTACGTACACACTTCAACGGGCCGCATTATGCCTTCTCAGAGAAGCGCAACACAGGGCGAGCTGTCAGGAAATGCAGGCTGAGAATGAAGACCGCACCGGAGACAAATGAATGCTTAGGCCTTCACTCATGCAGGCTCGGCGTACCTGTTCTTAGTTTTAAAGAGCAGACGGCGGAGTGTGATGCATCGCAGCTTCTTGCGCGCAAGCAAGAAAGCCCCAGCTTTTCGTGCTTCACAGATGCACAGTCTGCAAACTTTCCACCGCTCGTGACTTCTGGGTGACCGTTGCAGAAAAGAGGGTCCCATCTGGACGTGCGCATACAAAAACGCAGTCTGCCTGGTAACGTCCCCACGCCCTCCAGACACGCCGAAAGCTAGTCATGTACGGGAAAACACGGACTCAGTCTAGCGCTGCTAATTCTGCTTACGAATAAAGTTATGGTGTGCACCCTGAACCCTCCCAGTCTCACCCAGGTTTGCGCCCTCCTTCGAGTACTGTTCTCCACGCTGGCCAGGTCCGAGCTGCTCTGCAGGAGGCGACGATATTGCTAAGGCGAGAACCAGAGCTGTCTGACAATTTCAAGACCTCTTCTGGACACTCCCCTTCTTTGCGTCTGTACAAATTAGCGTGCCCAGGAGAGACCAGTGGAAGCTGGCTGGGCTGAAACAAACCAATCCAGGACTCGTCAGCGCCTGCCGCCATTTCCTGAATGCAAACTTGAAGCGCAACCGCACCAATAGTTGCTGTGCTGTTCGAGCAAAATACCGTGTTTCGGAACACAAAGATGCATCTGCTCTCCACAAAGCACAAGCTGCTGCACCTATTGCTGCAGCTCCACAAAAGGAACATTACAGGCAACACGAAGCGTCAAGGATGCAAAAGCAAGGCATCGCATCCTAAAGGGGGACCACGGACGCAAAAACCAAAAAGCTCTAGGTTCCCTGCGGCTCAAGAAATCCCGTGGTAAGTGTCACTTTCCCATGAAGCACGTACAACAGCCCCAAGTCCGTTTGTAAACACTAAGAGCAATCCCAGATGAGTGTAAAGCAAATGCAGAATCTCTGATCGCCGTGACTCCTCACGTCCTGTGCAGCTCCTTACCCCGGCAAGTTTAAGCTCTGTGTCGTTTTCAATTAGAGCCAAACTGGCGTCGTTCTCGTTGAATCCCAAGCCATCTGCGAGATGTCTGCATTCCTCGTTGGCGGAGAAGAAATCCCACCGGCTGCTAATTCTTTCGTCTGTTTTCAAAAAGCACTTGGATCCCAACTGTAGGGATCCTCTCCACGGGCAATCGCTGCTTGTGGGAATTCCATCAATGCCTCTCGCTTGCGGGTACCGCGCAGCGTAAAACGCCACCTCCCACAAGCCCTTATCCAGGCCCCTATCCACTCCGCAAGGAGTGCCTACTGTCACACGAGTCTTCACTTGCAGCGGCTCTATAGTAAAGCCTTCGACAGGCACTCCCTCTCCTTGAAATATGCGTCGCGCAACGCATAAATCAAACCCCTGGGAGGCTCCGTCGAAGTCAGCAGGCGGGTGCACCTTTATGGCAAGGACGAACAGGACACCAATGGAATCACGGCACGTGCGACCCGGTACCATGCCAAAGCGTTCTCCGCCCATCTCCATGTACCGGAATATGCAAATGGCCTGACTCGTAGACTCCCCTGTGAGAATCTGCGCGAGTTGCGAAGCGGAAGCCTCGTCAGAGGGGCTATAGAAGGTACTTGTAACAGACCAATCCACTCTTTTTCCCACCGCTAACGAATCCCAGTAAGATCCTGGAACGATGACAGATTCTGCCAGCTCCTGAAAAGTGCCCCTCTTTCCTGATGATGCCACCTTTCGAGTTACTATGTGAAAGCGCATCGGGCCTGACTTGCTTAGCAAGTTCAGAACTTCACTCTCCGGAAAGCGTGTCTGGGCCCTTACAAGCACTCGTGAGTCTGATACACGCACATACAACAACATGAATACACGGGAGTGATTAGTACACAACATGTATATCGCACACGTAGAGCAGAGTACAATTTGTGGGTATGCATATGTGTAATGGTATAAACACGCATTAACACACACGTGGTTTCCACACACATGCTGCAGGCCTTCCGCACTAAGCAGACGACCAACTAGCCCTTGAAGAAAGGGTCATGCTGTTAAAAGGCAGGCAGCCTCAGTGCCCACGAACCTTGTGCACCAATGAGGCCTTACCCACAACCCTTTGAGCAGTTGTTGTTACTAGCACTGCTATTAATACTGCTACAGCTGCCGGCAACGGCCGCACTAATGGTTACTCATTCTGCAACAGCGAAACGAGTGTGACTTACCGGCAGGGTGAGTGCTCTTGAAAGAACAGGAAGAAGGAACACGCTCCACGAAAGACTGCCATGATAGGTCACCACGATGGAGGCTAGTAAGCCAAGCCTGCATCCCTCGACGCATGCAATCCTCGCTGCAGATGCTCTTCTCGAAGTCTGGCTGTTGCACAGAAGGCGGCGTGAATCTGCAATGCTGCTTATACTCTTGAGGCATCCAGAGCTCCGACTGAAACTCTAGGACGCAGCTGTATGGATCCACAGCCGACGAACAAGACTGGCCATGTCTGTAGGCGCATCCACCCCGCGCATCGACAACCCAGCCAGCACATTCGTTTCAACGAAGTTTTCGGTGAGATAAAAAAAGATAAGCAAATGCGTGTTTACCCTCCTCTGGAGGTCCAGAAGAATTGGCAGGCAATTCACAAGCAAAAAGAAGCTATGGAACAAACAAAGCCCAACTGCGTGACATAAATTCTAAAAGGCTAGACCATTCAACAAAGGAGGGTTTCAACGATTACTTGTGGAGAAGGGCTCGACAAAGGCTCCGGCAATTAGGTGCCTCCGACGGCGTCACCGACACTGTCCCGTCTGTTTCCACGTCGCCGTAGATAGCACTGCTACAATAAATCGCCGGTATTCTGTCTGCCCGCCTGGATTTAGCAATTGCCCAGGCGATTTTTCGATTTTCAATCAAGTCAATGAGAGACGGAACTGAATTTCCTGTGTCTGTAGACGTAAAACGCACAAAACTGCTTCGCACTGCCTAAATTCCAGCTCGAATTCCTTCGAGACACGGGCGTGAAGCACAGTTCTGAATATACAGTTAAACTGCAAAGGATAACTGCCCCAGTCACGGAAAGACCCCCCATGTTGCCATCATATGCCAACAGTGTGTATAACCCAATTTTACTTCCCAGCACTTGTGCGGACGACAGCTGCTGTGAGCTGTAAAGGTGCCACAGGCTACATTACCCACAGCAGCGCTGTCAAGCGTGCAGTTAAAACGCATGGACAACCACAATAATAGGACGGGCCACGTAAAAAGCGCATCGTGCCTTTTTACCTCTAATTAGGGCACTATGTCCCTTTACAACACCCTTCGGCTCCTTCTTTACCATGCGACTAGAAACGTGGGCTTCCTTGTCTGCTTGAACTTCCAAAAGACTGTGGCTAAGGGTGACAGCTACGCAGCACAAGACAACGAAGTGGCGCATACAGCCCCAAAAGTGCCTCCCGCTGCGACACCCCCACCCACGGCGAGTTGGGAAACTGTAGGAGCGATGAGACACAGCCTGACAGCTAAGGCTTGACGCAGCTGCTTCTGGTGCAGCAAAAACTGGGGATGGCGGAGTTGCATGACCCCGTGATGCCGATGTTGCGGCGACAAAACCTGCATTGCCTGAAGCGGAGGCAACGTCGAGTTTGCGATGAAAAATCCCTCGTGTGCAACGGCTCCAGCAAGCAGCGCCGGAGGTGGCACCCTCCGGGGGGAGCGCCATCGCTAGCAATTGTCTAGGCCGAGGCGCAGTGTAGCTGCTGCTGCCGCCGCACGCTTGTTGACAAGAATAACTGCTGTGCAGTGCTAGGAAAGGAAAACAAAGAGGAGCCACTGGACATCCCACGCGTGCATTGTTCCCTATGGGACATGTACAACAGGCTCGCTGTGCCTCACAAGGCCGTTCCAGTTAGCGAAACGACACCCCATGTTCCTTGCTTCCCTAGCCCCTCAATTACTCTTTCCTTCTGAGAAAGTATTACGGCCAGGAAGCGTCTTGCCAGCTAAGACGCAGGACACAGCAAACATGCAGGAGGGCTAGTTGACAGGATGTGCCTGCAGTTACACTTCACGGGTAGCGAAATCCCTTGGTAGTGTAGTTTCAGTTGTAAATCAGGCCCTACTTATCCTAAAGAGGCAAAATAGACTCAAATAATGAAAAATCCCTCGCAATGGGCCTCCTGCGCATGCAAGGGCCGTAGTGATCACAGTTGCATGGACGGGTGAAGAACACCCGAGCTGGCCCCAAAGATATTGACGAAGCACAGCGAAGACAAACCAAGAAAAGAAATAAAATGTTACAGTGAAACTGCTTATGATTTTCGACGTTGGGCTCGACAACTCACAAGTTGCTTTTGGGCGAGCCGCCCGTGACAATTCATTCACATGTACTACGGCGCCAGCGGTGGTTCCCGCCAAATATGCACAATAAACAGCGACTATGAGTGCATACAGAATTAATAAATTGCCGCCGATCTCAAAAACAGAAGCAATCGGCCGCGGCCGTGAGACTTTAATCAAGCTACACAAGCACGGACGTGCATCTTGAATGTGCGTGCACCCAATGCATGGCTGCACCCCCCACTTTAGAAAGGAGAAATTTGATTGTATCAGCTAGCATGCGTTGGGCGTTTATAAACCGAAGAGTTAACAGTTCAGCCTTCCCGTCTTGTTGCCTTGAACACATTTCGTGTGGATGTGTTCCACTGGTAGCCTGCGGACGACCAGTGTGATCGTCAACGTAAGGGAACGCCACACCTAAGCTTATTGCAGAGCAGTCAACTCTTCAATACAAAGAAAGGCAAATGGATACAATACAAGCCACCACTTCGGTGTTTGCAAGAGACTCGAGGGGCTTCGGTGGGATGCGGAGAGATCCACAGAAGAAATGCCTTCAAAATCAGTGATCAGGCGGAACGGGATCACTAACCCTCCAGTGAATTTGCCATTTTGAGGAAAAGTCCTTCACCACTCCACAGAGTGAGTAAAAATTCGAGAACACTAGGGCTCGGGGAACAGCTGAGGCTCCCTCACGTGCACTGTTTCTAGGTGCCACCATTGCAAAATTGTTTTCTGTAAAGTTCACAGAGCAGAGACATCGGAGCTAGAAACAACAATCCTAATGGGCTTCGGTCTATGCAGCCAACACTTAGTCCCCACGGAAGCGTACTGAATATAACTGGCTCAAGCGTCTGCCGTACGTAGGCTCTGCCGCTTGGTCGTGAAGCGATACAGAGTGTGGAGCTGTGCCTGGGTGGAGCTCAACAGCAGTTCAGCCCACCAGTTGCAACTGATGTGCCTTCCATTTACTGCGCTGCAGCAAAACAGAAACTTTCCAAGCAAAACAAACCAATCGATGGAGACCAAAAGGGAACGGTCTAATGCTTCTTTGCCACTCAGTGTCTCACCGTAGTGCTACGTAGACAACACACCTATTCTCAAGCCCCTTTGCTGCGCGTTTTACATTTTGCGTTGCGGCAAGTTGGAAGGGGACTAGAGCTGCATCTTTTTCAGTTCTCGTTGGGGCCTCCCCATGCCGGGAGAGACCCTCTTCGCTGTCCAAACAACAACCACTTTCCCCGCCAAAGTCAAGGCTGTGCAAATGTACCTACCTGACTACATACTCAGCTTAGAAAACTGCGTCACCAGCATGAACTGACAACCGTTCGATAATTCGTTCGAGCTCAGCAGTTTTTGGCTATGTATAGCCAGTCTCGGCCCGGAAGGACCGTTCTGGTGCATATATTCGAATGACTGTGCCCATCTCGGAACTGGCAACGTAACCCTCTAGGCTCAGTACCCTATTTGGTGAGCGCATCCATCTAAGCGCTGGTCCGCTAGGCGGCTAGCGTCATTACCTGGCACTGCTGGCGGTTGAATTCTGATAACCGCAACCCGTTGGAAATGCAGATTGCCGCCTAATTGCAAAAACACCTAATTACGCAGATTGGTGCCAAAAAGAAGCCTTTTTCTGCAGCAGCAGAGGGCCCATTCTCGTGCAACTAGCTTATGCAGCTGTGACGAGTTCCTCGTGGAGTAAAGATCCTTGGCCCCTGTACCGTGTATTATTATTATTACTTTCTTTTGTTTTAGCTGTTATATCCGTTTTCTTCGGCAAAAAAGGCCATAAGGGGCGACAAATGTAAACATATGTTCACATAATTGTGCACGATGAGCTGCGAGGACCACCTGGAGGCTCAGGCGGCTGCACTTGGCGGATGCAGAAGATGCGGACCTGCATCAAACATGCAGAACAAGGAGGCAACTGACGGAATGCCTAGTTTTCTTAGCATGCGGGAAGGAGCCACGAGAACCACCCCGCAGACACACAAAGACAGGGAGCAAGCAAAGATAAATGCCGAGACGAAGACCCTGGGGTATCTCACGCCATGGCGTCGTGACTTAAACGTGGCCTCTCAATCATACAAAAATCCCAAATTAAAAGCCCAATACGTGCGTCAGTGCAAAAAAATATAGTTGCATGAATATTGGCAGTTCTCACTTTTTCGTAGACCAGCCTGAGAACCCCAGGGCACGCGCGATGATTGGTTAGCGCCGTGATGGTACCTGCAATGCCACGTAACCGAACAATGCCGCGTAATCCAACATTACACACGTTTCGAATAATGCCTAATTATACGGCTGATGACAAACGCGCACGCGGCTTATGAAAGGCCAACCGGCTTGCCGCTGGATTCCTAGGCTCTTTACGTAACGGGCTCTTCATTGTGGATTCGGACGAAATTACAGAACAGTACGTATCTAATTCTGCGTTCACCGCAGTTTAGCTTTAGTTTTCTGATATGTGGAAATAACCGATGGCAACTATCGTGGTAAGTGTTCCCTGGCGCCCATGCAGAATTGCGGCAAATTGCTGGCCTAGCCCTAACCCTCCTTCAAAATCCGTAGCCCGAATGCCCCAAATACCCTCAACTGCTTTAATTCAGAGGGTAGATCTTAAAAGTTGATGATCGTGATGTGGGACATACCATCAAGCCGGCGGATACTTGCTTGAGTGTATGGGCAAGTTTGAAACCTGAGTTTGCAATGGAGCAGAAGTGAGCGCATCAGCAGTTACCTCAATCGACCGTACGCTCACTTTACCTTACTTTCCTTCTACGTATACCCTTTCAAACTGCATGCAAGTCCCTCAAAACCCGTAATGCCCAGCCATGATTGTTCCTTTTGGTGTCACTGTCACACGAGATGGGAATCTGATGCAGTTCAGAGCAGTTACCTGATTTTCTGCAGCTGCCAATAAAGATAAGCAGGCACGAAGAACTCCGATAAAGACACATTCATCTTTATGAGGGACCACACGACGAAGAATAGACCAAAGTAAACTTCCAAGTCCGCGCGCAGCTGCAGAATTTGAAACCTCTGGAAGCGCAAAAAGGAGTGACAAATCATGGGAGAAGTATTGCAGACGCGGAATGCGCATTCCTCCCCATCTCTCTTCGGTCACAACACGGCAAAACACCTCTGCATTTGCTCTACCACTGTCTCTTCGCTCTATCGCTGCCTCTTGTTTGCCTACCTTTCGATCCATCATTGACGTGAAGCTTTGCACGGGACCGATGCTGCAATTAAATTGCAACAATGCATTCACACGGACAGCAGAAATGTGAATACTGCCATCATAATATTTCTGGTTCCATTCGATCGTAGCTCCTTATGCAACAAAACAGTACAGGCAAAGTAATGTCTAAGCTATTTGCAACAGGCACCAACACACGCGCTGTTGGAGCTGGCTTCCCGACATACGCGGCGGGATAAATTGACTCCTGCAGTTGAAAATAACGGCAGTGTCCATAGAAATAAAGACAGTAGGACTCACTTTTTTAATAACGACAGTATGCCACTGCCCTCGCGCAATATGTAGGCCGCCACTAGACTGCCCGTCAGTAAAGGAGAAGCCAGCAGAGGCAACGAGTTCGGCATGAGACCCGTAAGTAAAGAGAACAGGACGCCATGCATGGCATCATTCTGTAGGACGCGCTGTGACGTAGCATCGACGAAGCATGTGAATGCACAAAGTAATCCTATATAAAGGCAGCAATTAACGAGCAAATTAAAAACAAGCAAAACAAACAGTACGGACAGGTATCGCGCACAGAAAGAACAATATATAAGTACACAGACATACAAAACAAGGTCAAACAATTAGTATTGGTGAAGACACGTGAAAACTGCAATCGTGACCACGTCCATTATGTCAAGATGCGCTCATATTCCTTCTTCATTCCGACACAACTACCACGCATACTGCGTAATCATACCTACGCCACACTTCTATTCAATGTGTATGCCCATAGACCATCAAAGCTCTCGTCTGCTACATATGCTGCCACTGCAGCTACAGCAGATGGTACTACTGCAGATGCTACAGTAGCCCGCATGCGGCTTCGACTCGTGTGTTCGATCAAGCTTTGGTGTCATACCTCGAAGTAGGGCACGCCTTCGTTGGCGATCGAGTCCCCCAATTGGGACAATGGCCAAAATTTGATGGGTGGAAGACCAAAGCAGCCGTACAACCGCAGCAGAAGCGCTCCAGTCAGCAGCAGGGAGGCCATGGGATCCTACAGTTCAAAATGGCACAGCATTTACTATTTCAATAACGCTATGCATCGCCTTGTCTCAACGCACATATGGCCGTATATACAATCTGTACGTGGCTATTACGCACGATAATACGATCCTAATTGTTAGGCGTTTTGCGAGTCCACCGTGGTGGTTTACGGAGCTTATCAACTAGCACATGCCGTTCCTCCAGTTGCAACCGTTGCTGGTGTCACTACCGCTGCTGCCACTGCCGCTGCTGCCACAGCTAAAGCCAATGCTGCAGGTGCTCCTGTCACTAATGCTGTTTCGTTGACGCCCCAGCTATGGCTGTGGCTAACGCTGCCGTTTCTGTTGCTTAAGCCGGCTCACTCTACGGGACGTAGCGGCAGCCAGCACAGTCTTGAGCATGCCAGCGACGAGGCAGAAGAGCGTCAAAGGAGAGAGCACTTTGAGAACAGTAGCAGAGGGAGGAGAACCAATCGGCCGTGAAAATGGAGGCATGCGGGGGCCACTGTAACTACCGCTGCAGCTGCTGTCGCCAGAGCTGACGCCTGGGCTGAAGTTTCCGTTCAAGACGTCATCAACTTTTGTGCTGTTAATGTCGAAGGTCGCGTCCTACGGAGACGAATGCAGAAACAGAGAACACATAAGACCAATCAAGCGTATGCACACAAGAAGTATAATCCAGAGAACTTAAGCGGCCAGACGATACACCAAAGGTGTGAAGTTTACGCACAGCTGACCTGATGCGCTTTGTAAAACTTTTTCTTCCATTTGAGCATTTTATTCAAAGGAGGGGTAGGGTACAGGCTGGCGAGATACTCCTGCCACTCTTGACTCGCGGACCAGTCAAAGCAAACGAACTTCTCCTCAGAGGGGCTCAGGCCCGCCGCCTTCGCTGCCTCCCTCAGTGCCTCCAGCTTCTTGTTTGACATTTTGGTTCCTGCTAATCACGCGGGGCAAACTGAGGCGAATTGCGCAAAGTCGCGGGCCATGGGACGACGATCAAGAAAGCCTTGTAAATACTCAGTCAGACGCACACTAGCGCTGGGTCTGGGTGGCACTATGACGAGCTCGAAGCGAGAGGTGTGGAGGTGTGAGAGACAAAGAGCACAAGGAATCAATGTAGAAGAAGCAAAGTCTTGGGGATGGATAGAAGGGTTAAGAGATTAATCCTGCGCCACTGCCACTTCTCTGAGTCCCTCAGGTCCTGAAAGATTCAAAATAGACAGAAACACAAGGCAAAGAGCACCCGCTAGTTTTTTGATTTGCAAAGAAAACAGCAGGCAACCCACTCTGCATGAAATGCCAGACTACACGTAGTCCCCCGCACTGGGCCCATATTCCGTTTGGAGAACAATTTTAACAAATTACGCTGTTCACAGCTTCGGGGCAGCTAAACTAGTAGTTTTCAAGCAGTGATGCCATAAACACGCAGGGCGTCGGAGTGCTCAAATCCACAAAGCGTATAAGTCCAGCTTTTGGCAGCTGCATAAGCATTTTCAGAGCTTCACGGTAAGTGCATGATTCTGAAGTCATGTAACTCGATATACAGTGGTTCCAAACAAGCATTTCTTACCGATGAAATTCAAGCCCAGACGACTGCGTCTGGCTGCTTGAGGAGAGGCAGTTTACCGTGGTGTGTCAGATGTTCAAAAGTTACATTTCAGCGTAAACTCGCCAATTAGGAGACTCAGCATATCTAGTGCGTTGAACACAAGGTTGTTTTGTGAAACACCGGAAGACATGGGTCGCATGCACTGCAGACCCACGATGAAACAGCCCCGTGCTTTACAAATGCTGAAACTGAATTCAAATAGCAAAAGGAAGAAATATTTATTTTTTCCGCTGGTTTTTGGGATACATGAATGTGATGAAGCGCTCAAATTGGATGGGAGTAGGCATACAGCCAGGACAGCAGTGCTCGCCGCCGACGGTGTTCGTCTCCTGCCTCTTCCCTCTTGTGGCTGTTGAGATTTCTGCCTAATCAGAGTCACTTTAAATACAGCAACCCAGCATCCGGTCATTCCGTGCATGTCTCCATTCCTACAGCCCCCCATACTGCGTCGTCATCCGCAATATGATCGAATAGGATTCATGCTTACGCTGTGCTTAATTAGTTTCTAATTTTCCGTGAGCGCGCCTGTGCGGTCAGTATCTCAGTCCAACTAGTCAAAGGCTGCCTTGATACCGCCTGATGCCGTCGGAGCTTTCAGCCAGTGCACATAGCTCCCAACCCAATGAAACCCCACAACTTTCCCCTCCTAGCGGCAGCTCTGGTGTTCCCACACCTGCAGCAGCCAAAGGAGCTTCTACCGATGAGACTTCCGATGTGGTGAGGGAGACATGCGCGGCAGTATCTGCTTACTATCGTCGTATGTTCCTAGATGCGCTAAGCACTGTTGAGGGCCACAAGCTGTTGGTGCTTGAGGACAGCCTGGCCTCCCCTGTCTCTCACATTGTGGACGCATCATCCCTGCAGCAGCATGGCGTAGACCGTTGCTTCGCTCTTAAGGCTGTTCCCATTTGTTTGGCTTCAGTACCGCAGCAAACAGCAGTAGCACCCACTGTCCTTTTTTTCTGCCGTCCTCGCCTTTCGCGCCTACCGCTAATTATACAGCACATAAACTACATCGAAAGTTCCTTTCCTCAGGCTCAGGCCTCATTAAAAGCCGCTGGGGGGCTTCAAGGTGTGGCTACCCGGGCACCACAGGGAGTGTCCCAGCCCACCAGCAGTGACGCTGTGCTGTGGCGGTACCCCCTTCCGCCTGCCTCGTCTCAAAGCGGACGAAAATATGTCGTTGTTTTGGTTTCTGAGCCATCGGATTACATAGCAAGTGAGCTTAGGCGTCTTTTGTCTGCTTGTACACCTGCAGCACCAGCAGCAGCAACGGGCGCAGCAAACGGTGCTTCCTCTCTACCTGCTGCTGCAGCTGCGCTCATTTCAAACCTTGGAAACAGCCTGCTCCCCCTTGGTGCGACAAACTCAGCAGCCGCTGGCAACCCCTTTAGCAGCAGCAGCGGCAGCAGTAGCGTGAGTCCAGACTGTGTCGTGGTGACGCACTGCCCCCTGAGGCTCTTCCCGGTTGACCGCGACGTGCTGTCTTTAGAGATACCGAACTTCTTCAGAGCTTACCACGGCCAAGGGGATGTGTCTCTGTGCCGCAGCGTTGCCGCTGCAATAGACGTGCTGCAGGAGCAGCAGCAACAGCAGCTGATCCCTAACCTGCGCTGCATTGGCAGCGCCGCGAAAGCCGTGAGTGACTTCCTGATTCTCAAGCGCAAGCAGCAGCAGCAAAAGCAAAGGCTACAAGACCCTTGCCTAAACCTCATTGCAGGTCCCAAGGAGCCGGTAGCCCTGCAAGTACCTCCTGTATATTCTGTCCTAGACGCTGAGGACTGTGGGGTTTCCCCATCAGGCGTGTCGGCAGGCTGCAGCTTGGCTCCGGGTGCGGAGGTAGGTGATGCAGCATCAGCATCAGGCTGCACAGGACAAGCGGCTCTGGCACTACCTCACTTACTGCACATGTTAGTGCTTTTTGACCGTCGAGTGGACCTTGTTTCTCCTCTCTGCACTGACTTCACCTACCAGGGACTTCTCGACTCCATCCTAGGAGTGGACGGCACAGGCGTAGAAGTGCCCAAGCACATCCTCCAGCAGCAGCAGCAGCAACAACAACAGCAGCCGCAGCAGCAGCTGTGCGAGCCGCTGCCAGGGAGCGGCAGCAGCAGCAGCAGCCCTGGCCCAGGTAGCTCAATTTTGATAGAAAGAGGCCGAGGACAACGGGTTTCGCTGGCTGGGGACAGTCTCTTTATGAGTCTACGGGACTGCCACCAGTCGCTCGTGGGCTCAAAGCTACACAAAATAGCTAGTGAAATAAAAGAGACATACATTCAGAAGGACGGCTTGCGGACCATAGAAGATATAAGCTGTTTCATGACCAAGTTCAAAAGAAAGCAGCAAGAACATGCATCACTGAGCTTGCATGTCAAGCTAGCTTCCTTCGTCTCAGCCGTCTTTAAGGACCCCAATTTCCACAACAGGCTTTGCCTAGAAGACAAGCTGCTGCAGGGCTCGGGAGGCGGAGGCCCTGCAGCTCTCCTACCCGGGCAGCAGCGCAGCAACAACTTAGGAGAGGCGTTTGATCGGCTGATTGACGAGTCAGCAGCAACCGAAGCTGCTGCTGCTTCTGGTTGCTGCTCCGCCGCTGCCACCACACTCGATGAGGTGTACAGACTTCTCTGCCTCGCCTCTGTCACCGGGGGTGGCCTTAAACCCACGCAACTGAAGCCGCTTCTGCACGGTCTTGTACAGCAGCACGGTGTGCGCGAGCTGAGGCGCATAGCCTATCTGCAGCGAGTGGGATTGCTTCGCGAACAAAACTCACAGAAAAAAGCGAAAGGTGCTGCAGCGGCCGTGGGACCCGAGGCATGGAGGTTCGTCAGAGACAAGTGCCAACTCATGCTCGAAGAAAATGAAGCCATGCAAGGCATTGCGTACGTTTGCTCTGGATACTCACCCCTGTCAGTCAGGTAAGCTGCTCAGATGTATAGCAGCAGGGTGGTACGCAGGCAGTGTATTACTATTGACTCCTCCGCTTCGATAGCAGCTGCTGCGCTTTGTGCGGCAAATGAGTTGCGGTGATCCGCTGCTGCTGCTTCTCCTGCTGGTATGCGCTCTATGAGCAGGCTGCTGCAGCTACTGCACGAGACACCTCTAGGATGGCGTGCCATTCCTGATGTGCTGAACAGCATGTGGGGCCCTGCCCTGGAAATCAGGCAGCAGCAGCCGCAACCACCAGCGCTGCAGCAGCTTCAGTCACCAGTGACGCAGCAGAAGCAACAGCTTCAGGGCGAGGGCAGTAATACGCCTTCTGCCCCCCCGCTACTGGTGCTGGTGCTGTACATAGGGGGAGTGTCGCATGCAGAGATAGCGGCAATACGAAGACTGAATGAATTGGAGAGAGACGGAAAAGTGAAAGCGGACAGGAGGCCCCCCAACACCAGGATTCAATATCTGATCCTAACCACAGAAATAATCAACACGAGACAGCTATTCCACAGCATGATTGATGATGTAGACTAGGCGCACCGGTCAGTGTAGCTGAGGGTGCAGGAAACATTACATACGGGGAAGAATTGGACAGATGAGGCTGCGCCGGTGAGACAAACAAACACGGGACGCACAAACAACAGGCAGCAAACACAAAAATAGAAGACAAGCATATGTAAAAACATACAAATTCACCAGTCTATTACGAAAGCGCGGCAAAAACTAAGTGATAACTAAGAAGGATAAATGCAATGCAGGGCATTGCTTTAAACTAGGTACACAGAAATGCTGCTGTAACGGCAACCAAAGGAGAGGAGGCGCAGCCAAATGCACCTTTTCAGGCTCCACTCTCGATACCGACATCAGGTATAACAGCGACAGTAACGGGAGCAGCGGCTGTTGCTGATCATGATATTGCACTGGCGGCAGCTACAGAGTCAACAATAGCTACAGCAGCGACCTGCGCCAGCAGCAACCGCAGCAGCCGCCGCAAGCAGCCGCGGCAAGCCAGTGTCCTGCAACAGCAGATATGCCAGTAGCTGCAACAGCAGCAAGACCCTGTGTGAGCAACGTTTTCCTTTTTGCTGTTGAGTTATCGTTTATAACATATGCGCTCGCAGCAAAGATACTAAATTATATCTGGGACGTGAAGCCACGCTCGTTCTGCGTATCTCTGCATAGAGATGCACACCGTGCTTTTCGTCTTCGTCTCTTTGCCTCCCATTGCCGTTGTCCGTCTGTCAATTACTTGTTCTCAAGTATTCGCCTTTAGTCTTTTGCTAGTTCGGTGCTAGCACCACACTTTTCCCCTCCCAACTTAGTTTCTTCCTCTCGCTCACGCTCTTTGTTTCCAGTCCGCCAACTACTCCACTCTTCGAGGAATTGACACTCTGCGCGTACCCTGCATGAGAAAGAGCGGGCCGTCCCTAGAGCCTTTGCTTTTCAAACTGGCTTCGTGGGAGTGCAGCTTCTTGCGCATTTGAGGCAAGAAGCCGACGTGCGACAGTTGCCCTTAATGGAGTTCTACTGTATGACGAATGGTTCGTCTCTTCTTAGAGATGCGTCCCCTTGGAATGATTCAATGTTATTCTGTAGTTCGAATGAAGCTACACTTGCATAGTTTGGGATCACAACTCTGGTCTAAAAGCAGTGTAAGCGGCAGCCTAGGCTGTAAAACGTGATGCAGTAAATTAAAACTGCTTTTGTGTGCACGCATGCACTGAAGGCTACTTGTACACGCTAGCAACACCCAAAGTGGGAGCGCGCCAGCCACAGCGTGGACGCCTCGCCACGAGAGCGTTAAAGGCCTGAGCTGAGGTTTTCCCGGGGCTCAGGTAGAGCTGAAGCAGGGTAGATACCTTCTGACCTAAACAAACATTGAAACACTCCGTTCATGTGAACGACGCATGAGGAAATGCGACGGCCTGGCGCAACACACAGAGCAACGGTCCATAGCGAAGTCGTGTGCGGACCGCCACACCTTCCTGTTGCTTAGGGTGCCGAAGAACACCTGTGATTCAGTTCGGTTTGCGGGTGCTTGATGTCGTCATCACCCAATACCACTAGGTGGCACTGATGCGCCGCTCTCTTGATTCTGCGACCAGTAGGAGGCGACTAATTAGCTTCCGAAGCTGCATAGGACTCTTTTAAGCAGAAGTGCAGGAAATAATTGCAGTGGCGTTGCGCTTTGGTTTACTTTTGAAATTGCAGATTCACATGGCCTACTGTGATGTTTTGGGGCCTGTGTTAATCCCTTCTGCATGCTCTGTAGTGCGCTCCTGTGCATATTTTTCATTGGAGTCACTAACAAACGAAATTCTGTCTTCTTATTCTTGGAGTATAAGAAAAGAAAGAACTACACTGAATCAAGTCAATCCCCACATTCGCTCGCTACTCAGGAAGCATACGCGTGGACTCTTGCAAGCGTGGTGGAGCTTCTGTGAACTATTTGCTCCAGCTTTCATTCCTTTATCTGCCCATTTTTGGTAATCTTGCCCAATTATCTTCTTGTGAAGTGAAATTTATCCCGTGTTTGCCGTTTTCAGTAGAGCAGACGAGCAGCCTGTTGTTTGTCTGTGGCGAAGCCTCTCTCCGTTTTTCTTCCCGCCAAGATGATTCCTCTTACGGCTGCCAGAGGTTTTATCAAGTGTCTTCCGCCCAAAGCTGTGACCAGATATAGTCAACCCTATTTGGCTTCAGGCCAGCGCAGAGGGTACAGCAAGGAAGTCCACGATCACTTCTTCAACCCTCGGAATACAGGTACGTGTTGCTGGCTCTCTGCTTCAGGATGCTTAGCATAGGGCTAAGGACTTCTGGTTCAGTACTTTGCACTTCTACAGGTACAATGTGTAATCCGAAGGCTGTTGTGTGAGTTTCGGTGGCCTGTTCGTTCATATGGGTGTCTTTGTTAGCTTCACTATGTGGTTTTTGCACCATGATCCGGACTATTGCTCAGCTGCAGCTCTAATCACTTTGTGAAGTGCATGCTGGAACATACATTTTGTGACCAACGGCAGCCTGGAGAGGACCACGACCCTCGGTGTTTTAAGTTGTCAAGGTTAAGGTGTAGGGACAAAATAGCACATGTGCTCAGGCTCATTTGACATGAACGATCCTGAGAATAAGCAAAAAGTGGGGACCGCCATAGTAGGCAAAGCTGCTTGCGGCGATGTAATAAAACTGCAGGTAATTGGTAGAACCTCAGCTGCTCTTCATCCCCCAGTGACCCGATGAGCTCGCCTTTTATTATACAGCATTGCCTGCTGCTCAGAAAGAACAAATTTGTGTAGCAGTTTTAGAAGGTTTTGGAGAGTTTTGGGAACTAGGACCACGGTTCTCTGTCTAGTTACCAAGTGCAGCCCCCAACGAGACGTGGACTTAGCTGCTGTTGGCACTAATATCGCATTAGATTGCATATAATCGTCTACAGAATTCTATTCAAGCACGACGCATCGTGGTGTGTTTTGAGTTTGGTGCTTTAGGTCAAGGTGGAGGATGGGAAGATAACCGACGCACGCTTCAAAACTTTTGGCTGTGGCTCGGCTATTGCATCTTCATCCTACGCAACGGAGCTGATCAAGGGCAAAACCACAGAAGAAGCATTGAAGCTACGGAATACAGATATTGCGTGTGCGCAGGGCAGGGCAACAGACTGAATAGCGTTCTCGATTTACAGATGATCTGAACACATGGATGGATGCGCACTGTTTGTTGATGAGAGTAAAACCATCCTGGCACTTTGTGGCAGCGGAGTAGATGCATGCATGCACCAGTTGCGAGGGAGAGCTGCTGGACAATTTCTTTGTTTGCATGTATGCGTGCTCATACATGATGCACAGTAGAAGCTTCTTCATTCATTTTAACCGTAGGCAGGAATAAAATCTTAAAAAGGAAGGACTAGTGCATAGGTGAATAAAACGGTGTTCTGTGCAATCCTCAGCACATCTGAACCTGCCGCCCGTCAAGATTCACTGCAGTTTACTAGCAGAGGATGCAGTGAAGTTGGCAATCGATGACTACAACAGGAAGAAGCCGAAGACCAAAGAATTTCAGCATTGAGGGCTGAGCCGCTCTATAGAGAGACACAACAGATGTACCTACGCAGCGAAGACCGTGTTCTGCCTGCAGCAGGGTTTAATCTGCAGCTCCTTGCTGGCTAGAGAGACGCGGCTTTGTTTTATTCAGATACTTCACAAGGCTGAAGATTTAGGATGGGACTTAGGCGGGAGAGGCGGAAACGACTGGCGAGGACGGGAGCGGTGGAGGCTATTTGTAATCATGGGAGTGCGTGAAGTGATGGCGTATATGCTAGAAGTGGAACACAATACTGCGTCAGAATTGCGAGAGATTTTGATGATTTTGCTGCCGAGCTATGTAGCAGCCAGGTGTCTGCACACCTCAACAGCCGATTTTATAGCGTGCCATCACCGAACTTACAAGGGATGCTACGCTCCGTCATTCCCAGCAGTATCGCACAGCGGCACGGAGGGGCCGCAGCTGGCCGGCAAGAGCCAATCTTGTTGCCCAGTACATACTAATGTTTAATGCATTGCCACAATTATAATTATGTAGCGCACAACGCCTCCTTGCGCGTTGATTTGGTGCTGAGTTTCCCCAGATTTTTGAAACCTGATGCATTTTTGAGTGCGCTCGCAGACTTTGGGTATGCAATGTAGGTGTGACTAGTATTTTTGCACTGCTTTGGCACCGTAGTACCCTATCGCTAGACAGTTGGTCTTTTGCTTCCCAGATATTGTGGAAAGACGTAGATAAAGGATTGCCTAAAGCAGGCACTGTATAATGTCTCGAAACAGAGCAGAGAGCAGCACATGTTTTTCCGCGCTTCTCGTGTGCGCCACTGCTTAGAGATTACGTGATGACCAACTGCAAAGTGACTTCAGTGCCGGGGCCCCTCCTCGAGGCTCCCATGCGTCACAAAGGATGGCTTGAGTCGTTAATAGTGCAACGGGAATTTTCAGTGATTTTCAGCGCAGCAGCAGCACAGATGTGCTGGCTGCTTCTGACATAACAAGGTGGCGGGTAACGTTAGCGTGCTCAGGAGGCAGAGAACACGAAGCCAATCCGATGTCGGGTTCCCGTCTAGTCAGTGCATCCTTAATCCCGTCCGATCTTTTCCCTTTCCTTGAGATTCAGCGTTTGGCTTTCCGCAGCTGCGAGTCCTTGCGGGGTCGCCAAACAACAATAAGTGAGTCGGAGCGATTCCACAAACAGCACGTTCTCTCCCGCGCGCCAGATGCGATGTCAAAAATCATTCAAAAAAACTGGCCCTGGCAGTGTGCGGCTGCTCGCGTAGTTCAGCCTGTGTACTATGTATGTACACTGCACTGGACGGCAACTGCACGGCCTTCTGTAGCGTTTCCTCGTCTAAGCTGGCTACAATTTGGAAGACAATCGCAACGTGCCTCGTGGGGTCGTTGGTGACTAGTCTTCAAATCCAGGGACGTCACACGCTGCTGCTGCTGCAGCAACAGCAGCCAAGAAGTGCTCTCCGACAGACGGGTCTACCAAGTCGCTCAGTGCCTCCCCTCCCCGAGAATCTGCGTTCTTGGTCGCGGCGTCGTTGGTTTCTGCTTCAGCTGTACATCCACCTGGTTTCCGACTAATAGCTTGGTTCATCAGAGTTAGCATGTCGCTGTACGTTGAACGGCTCCCAGTTGTCTGCTGAAGCCTTGAGCCTGCAGCAGACTCCTGGACTCCTTCAGGCTTCACGACACCCATGTCACCTTCAGCTTCCCCAGATGCGCTGTCAAGCCGGGGAGCAGCACGGGGCGCACAACGCGCTCTGAGTAGTTCAGGCTTCCGCCGCTCTGCATCGTCTGCTGCACTGTTTTCAGGTTTCGTTGCCGAGTTCCCTGCTTCCACTGCAGCAGGGGACACTTGGGGATTTATGACGGGCTTGAAAACTGCCAGCATGCCCTTCTGCAACGTGTGGGCCTCACCACTTAGCAACTTCTCAAGGCGGCAGTGCATCGCCAGCCCCCGCGCAGTTTCGTAGCCGTACTTGCCTAAGACGAAACAAACAACAAGCAATACAGACTATTGTGGAGCCGCAATTGAAAAGTGCATTCATGCCAGGTCAACAATCGCGCTTGTGGCAGCACAGATGCACACATGCAAACACAGTTCCAAGCACATGTGTGTGCAGGCATGCAACCACGCATATTTTTTGGTGCATGCAGGCCCATGGGTAGCGTACCGGCCGACCAAGATCGCTGATATTCCTTTCCATTTCTGGACCATGTGCAAACCCATCTATTGAGCGATCTGTTGAAGAAGACTCCTCGCATTGTGGAGGACAGAGCGGCTGGGAAATCACCCTCAGCTCCACTAGCTAGCTTCATAAGCTGCTCTGTGAGACTGGGAGGCAGCGCATGATTTGGCTCTTGCTGCAGAGTTTCACTCGGTGACAGGGGGGCTGCAGCCCTGCCCCGAGACTGTTGGGGGTTTGGCCCTTTCACAGGTGTTAGCCGAGTCCGGTTTCTGGGGAGTCCCTCATCAACCGCCTTTCTGCCCCTCTTCGCGTTTCCCCGACGGAGCCCATATCCGTGTTTCTTGAGCTGACAATCCGCAGCTGGAGCTGCAGCAGCGTCGCTCTGAAGCTCTTCCGTGTCAGCTGCTGCTACTGTGGATACTGAGCTTCTTGCTGCCTGCTGTACAGCGGCAAACTGTGTCAAGGCCTCACCCAGTGACTGCTCGCCCACCATTGACATATTGCGTTTGCCCCTGGCACTGCCGGAGCTAACTGAGTCGCTTTCCCCCTCCGCGACGGCAGCACTGCAGGCTGCATCTCGCTGGCGCATGGCACCCTCTGGCTGATCCACAGGCCCACTGAACACTTGCTTCGGGGAGTGTGTCTTGCCCACTGGCTGCCTCATGGCTTGTTCACATTGCAGCTTCTGCAAGACTTCCCCCAAAAGCCGCGTGCCCCGCTGTGCCAAACTTTCTGGACAACAAGAACTCAGGATCTCCGCCTGTACGTTTGGATGGCGTCTCTTGTTGACGCTAGCGGGGATAAAGGTCGGCGAGGATTTTACTCTTGAATCGCTCGCTATTTCTCCCGCTTCCTGTGCAATACGTGGAGGCCCTGCAGCTGCAGCCACCATCAAATCGGCCGCCGCACTGTCTGCAAAGGAGGCATTCGAGGCCACCCCACGGCTCTCACATTCAGTTTCAGGCATCGCCGCAGGCGTCACTGTAGGCTTCTGCTTCCGTGTCGCAAGGAGATCTGCAGCGGCGCGGGCCCGCTTGGTGGGGCGACTGGGAAGCACAGGAGGATGTGGGGAAGAAGGGTTGGAACCGGCGTCCTCTGATGGGCATTTGGGATGCACGGAGCTGGAGACGCAGTCTTCGGCTGAAAAGTTAGCCGTTTTGTGCATCTCAGCCACAGCCACGGCATCTCCCCAAATGGTCTTGGGGTCTAACTCTTCTGAAACTTTCGGGGGAGGGTCGGGAGCTCCAGGAGTTAGGATCCGCTGCAAGCTGTACATACATTCCAGCGCGGAGACAACCTGCATGAACACAACTGCCGGGCACTTTGCCACCATCTGTGCAATAGGGGCTGCAGGAACAGTTCCATGCCTGGCCAAGTGCCGCAGGGCAACTGATAGGATACTTTCTTGTTCGTCTTGTTTGCAAGTCCGCTGATCGCCGCTGCTGCTGTTGCTGCTTGAGAAGAAATTCATAGAGCTGCAGATGGGCAGCAACACGTCGGCGTAGCTTGCGAGGGTTGGGTGGAGGGGGCCCGCTGCTATGCGCTGCAGATGCATATAGTAGAAGGCGCCTCCATCTTGCCGCCTGAGTCCTGGCACGACATTGCACACTTGGTCGAAGAGAAGAATCAGCAGCAGCTGGAAGTCCACCAGCAGACGATCTGCGTCCGATGCTGCCAGCTCCTCCCTCGCCCCAGTTCTATTCGAGCCGTCTTTTCTATCAAGGACTTTTTCTGCCTGATTCAGCGCGCACTCCGGAGCTCTTGGTTGCTGCGGGAGTTCAGCGCAGGAGCTGCTCTCCAGCAGCCCCGAGTCACTTGTTGCTGCTGAGGAGGTAGTGCGGGACTTTTCACCCTGGCTGCTGCTGCAGCAGCGGCCCGCCGCTGTTGAGGGAAAGGACTGCTGCCCCTCTGGTTCCTTTTCCGGGCTAGTCTCCGCCTGTCGGAGGGGGAAGACGCTGCTGCTGTTGGTGGTTTCTGCAGTGGAGGTGCGCGCAAGTCTACTTGTAAGACGCAGCTTGTCAGCGTCTTCCCCCTCCTGAACCCCCGGACCGTTAAGAGGGAAGGCCTCTCCAGCTGGAGAGGTCGTATGGTGTGTGCAGACAGTGGCCAAGGGGGAGGGGGTACCCACCGGGATGTCTGTAGAATCCAGAGCATCGAAAAATTTCTCTAACGGGGTAGACAGTGAGCACTGAACGTCTGCGGCCGCGTGAAGCACGCGAGGCTGCAGCGTCTCCGCGAACTCCATCGGTGAGCCAGAGAAGAAAGGAGAAGAAATGTAGCTGCCGTCAGGTGAGGTTGACGGCGGAATCCCATCTTGCAACACGGAGGAGTTGCGGCGTGTGGATACCAGAGAGCTTGCATCTCTCCTCGGCCGGGAGCATCCTTCGGCCTTCAAATCTGCCGTAGATGCTGCAGGCAAGCTACGAGATGAATGCAGATCAGAACCCGGGCAATCCGCAGAGGCAGTTGCCGTGGCAGTGTTTTCCTGCTGTTGCTGCTCTACACTGCCACTCGGACCCTTTCTAGAGAGTCCTGTTGACGCCACCTCGAGTGTGCAGAGGGGGACGGCGAGTTTGTGATCTTCCATTCTTCCATAAAGGGAAATATAGGTCGCCGTGGGGTTTGAGTTGAGATAGGCCACCACGCACAATGCTGGTAGAGCCTACCAACGACTCGTGACAGGAACTCCACCCGAAAAAAACAGACGGCAGCTCTGCCGTCGTGTAGGGGAGCGAGCGCGACAGCGCCAGGCTGTCAACGCCTCGAAACTGTCCTCTGATGTGTTCAGGTGTGCAGCTGGTGGTGCACAGCAGGAGGGTGCGATGTGGTGATGCGGCCTCTGCAGACACGTGCAAGTCCCTCCAGAACCCCCAGTAGGATAGAGAAGGCCAGGAGAGCCTTTTGAAAGGCAAAGCTCAAGTGTCAGGGGAGAATATGCGGATGTGGACGGCTAGCATATCGACAGCAGCGCATACACCCCAGTTGCGGTGTGCGCGATGCTGTGCAGTTGAGGCAAAAGAAATATGAAAAAAAAGATACAAATGGAATTACAAAAATTGATGGGTGAAATGATGAATTCAAGACGCAGATAAGCAGATTTTGGCGGACAGCACTCAACATCGGACCCCCGTGCAACAGGCTGCAAGGTGCCGGAGTGCCGTGACAGTCGTCTTTCTCTGTCGGCAAGAGGGGTTAGAGATTATTTTTTGCAGACTTTGGGAAATATAAAAAGGCTCTCAATTCCATTAGAAGGGGTGTTCACTGCACTCCGCCAAACAGGACGATGCATCTGTCCCACGGTCGGTCGAGGCCTGGGGGTGAATCCGAGGGCGTCCGGCAGCCACCAGGGTTCGTTCCGACTGGAAAAAGCAGAAATAGTGCAGCAGTGAAGTATTCCAGCTGTAGGTAAAGAGTCAGGCGACAAAAAGGCAGCTAGGTACTGCCTATTGCGCTGCTGTAGAAAGGCTGAGTTGTTTGCAAGTGGGTGGCAGGGCAGGGCCCCTCGGATGTCTGGCAACTTGTCTCTCGCTTGTGCCCGCGGTTCTGAAGAGAACTATACCCCTTTCTGGCAAAATTAGGCAAATCAAAGCCTAACTGAGGACGTAGGGAGCCTCAGAAAGACAGGGAATGCAAGGAAAAGGAGCAAGGAGGAACGACGTGCGTTCACGTCTGCTGCCATGAGCATCGCCGACTCCTGCTCGCCCGAATGAGAAGAAGGAGGAAAATTGTGCCTTGTAGATGATAATAAATGCGTTTATTGAAAAAGATAATCATAGAACGTTATGCGGTAAGGGGCATCGACCCGTAGGGGAGTCTAAGGACAGATCGGCTGTCGGCGGCAGAGCGCAACCCGATGAGGCGACGGCGCACGGCGTTGCCTGCCTAGCCACTTCTTGTCTGTCCCCTTCATTCCAGCACCATGTGCATTTATTTATCCCCTCAAGCGCTGGAGCACTCTGATTATTACTTTTTCGCCGAAGAAATGCAAGCGTGGCAGCTGTCTGGGCACCGCTTAGGCACCGTTTTGCTTTTGCGAGACACGAACACAAGCGATGCTCAGCGGCTTTACTCACTACCTGCCCAGCAGCTATTCAAATCGCCTCTATTTGGGCTGTATGTGAGCTCTAGCAAAAAAATTTACCGTGAATGGAGCGCAGCAGTCAGCACAAACGCAACACTTAAACAGGGGCGCAGTTCACACCGCGCTCGGCCATGTGTTCTGGAGGCACTGCTAGGAATGAACCGAGCTGTTCTAGTCACTGCAAAACCTACTATAAAAAACAAATCGAGTATGTAGTTAATAGTAATCGACACATATAACATGCTAGGAGCAAAGTTAACTTGAAGGGCAAGGAATCGCCCAAGTAAGAGGCGCCAGAAGCAAAAGCAAGCCCATATCCGAATGTGTTAGTGTCTAAGCACTGCCACGCGACTAGCCTCTTCCATCAACCCCACTTCCGTAATGCTCAAAGGAATGACTCAGAGAGAGGACTCAACGCATTTGACATTGTAGGGCTTTTAACGGAGTGCTTTCCATCTGTCCATACAATCAAGGACTCCGCCAGTGGCAGCCACGAGAACTGTATTGCGTAGACGCAGTCAGCGACAAGTACTACGAGTCTCCACGTACAAAACGAGACCTTGTGGCTTCGCACTAAGATAATGTGCGTCGACAGTTCAGGCCCAAGGCTCTGCACCCTCACCAGATGCTACACGACACATGAAAATTAGCGACCAGTCGATTGACCGTAAAGTTGATCGGTTTGCAGAGAGTCTTCGCAACATTCGAGCACTTGAATTTCCCGATTTTAGTGTCGATTCTTGCAGAATAGTTGCTGGCCAAGACTTTGCGCTCACGGCTGATCGCGTCGCGAGGTACAAGAGACTGATCACGCCATTAAGTGAAACTATGTCTGTCGACAGAATAAGAGCCAAGTAGGACAAACTCTCCCGATGCAGAGCTCACGAAGCGGGCAATTTAACTCGATAACAAGAATGCAACCCAAGGAAATGAATAACCGCCGATGCGCAGCGGTCGCAAGGTCCTGGTAGCTAGGACTCTTGCTATCTGCAGAAAATACGAAAGATTTTAGTTTAGCCTCATTTTATGTACTTCAAGCGGCTCAGGCATTTTTTGGTTGCTTTCTTGGGTCACAACTCTTTACGAGATTCGCTTGGGGGACAAAATCGGAAGGCCACGTCTCTAAATGAGCAGATGATGCGGATTTCTGTTTGACTTTTCGAGCACTTGCTTCTATGGCAATCCTTTCCTTGTTGTCCTACTCGAGCAAGCGTGGATACTGCCCGTCGCCTAGCTCCCCCATCTCCAGATTCTTGTGGCTGCTTGCATTCCTTCTTGTTTTGAAAAGTGAAGTGTACTTAGTAGCAGCAATCACTGTTGTCTGAGTAAAGCTGAAGCCTGCGGACTGCAGCGGGGTACTGTGGACAGACACTGCATAGGTGCAGACAGCCCACTAATAAGTTTTCCGCAGCTCGTCTGCACTCACCCGCCATGTATCGGCCGGTGTATTTGCTAGCAAGCAGGTTTCTACTTGTATTGCGACTATTACATCAGTCCCAGATCCGTTGCAGGTATGTCGTTTTCTGAAGTAGGAAAACAATCGGCCTCTGCCACCATGATTAGCTGCGACGCAGAATTCCCAGAAAGTCACAAGCTCTGCAAGAGTCCAGAGTGCCTATAGTTATTTACAGACAGCATTTCGAATGGCCTGCTCTTTGTGCCGTACACACACGTGTTTGCTTGTGTACATCTTCGCTCATTTATTTTGCAGTGCAGCATTTCCCAGTGGAATGTCAGGTAATAGTCTTTTCAAAAGACGGGCACGCGACTATGGAAGGCTACCTGGTGTATGGTTGCTGCGCCTGACCTCCCTCACTCGAGATAAATTGCAAAACAGGTGACCGACTTTGCACTAATGCGCTCCGACAAACAGAGTATTGAGACACAAGAGGCTCACCTAAAAGAGCATTTCTCTTATCTGGTCTAGGCTTCAGCCGCAGATGGGAAAGAAACACTTTAAACATATTTGACAACTGTGGAATGACTCTCATTTGGTCTTCGGAACATTTCCCATCTATCATAGTTACGGTACATTATGTATTTAATACTACTGTAACGATCCACTAGTTTTATGCTTTGCGTAATTTCATTATTCTGTTAATCTGGCTCCTTTGCACGAGTAGATACAACATGAATCGTCCGTGACTTCGCCTTGTTGAGCGCAATATTTGAAGATGAGCTCAGCCTTTAACGTTTCATCACTTCCGAGCGACATCAGATGCGACCTTAATATTATTTAGATACGTCAAGGTGCGCACAGACGAGCAGCAGGTGCTCGATATGCTTCTGGCGGTGCCGTACATGGATATACAATGATTACCTGCCACCGGTAATTTCAGTTATACTCACAAGCAGGCGTTGTCGTTGGAGCTCCAAGCCCTACGCTGCTGCGGAGGCGGAAAAAGAAACGGCTCACCGCCTCAAGTGTCCCTGGTAGTTCTGCCCGTGACACTGCTTGCTTATCTGATTGGTCGACCACTGGGATTTTGTGTCGTCCGAAACTCTCTAAGTTTTAATCCTGAGCCACTCTTGCTCGTGTGGGAGTAACCACCAGTTCAACTTGGGGGGCAAGATGGAAGTGCAGTTATGGAGAGGAACGGATGCGCCCCGCTAGCTGGAGCGTCGCAACTATTTTATGAACAATTCTGCACTGTGAAAAACCTCTGTGAGCCATAGAAAAGAAACAGATGGAACTGGATTTCTGTTGGCGTGTTCTGGAGCTCGGGAAATAGTCCTGAAACTTTACATAGCAGGAATGTACCACATTCTTAATGCCTCTCTCTATCTGCGTCGCTGCTTTCCAGTTCCTCTTCCCATACAGATTTGCGTACATATACAGACCCTTTTGCCTACACAGAGTTCGCATACACTGCGCATATACAGCTCCTTTTAAAGTGCTCAGTATCACCTCTGGCGCGCATCAAGCTGGCGCGAACGCTATTCTGTGTGCGGAGTGCTGGCAGTGTCTGGTCAACACTGACCCACAGTGACAAGCTGTCAAGTAAATAATGAGCCTATTTCCCAGGAAATACAAGTTGCTACAGCGCGGAGACATCGCAGCAAGTTGTTGTGGCATACACCGCAGGCAGATCCGCTTAGTCGTGGAGTTGGTGAGGGCGCTGCGCTATTATGCGTGACAATGACGTACGTGAAACTCGAATGATGCCTAATAAGCTATATAGATCCACACGAGCTGGTTCTATGGCTGCGATGTAGCACAGAATACGGTATGGTTGGCACGGCGCAGTGCAGAGCATTGGGCGATCAGCTCCGTAGTTCATAATCGCCACTGCTGTATCTCAGTTTAAAATTCATTATTCCGGACACTTACGATGTTTTTTGGTTTCCAAATCACAAACATATTACTTTGATAGAAAAAAGTTTACATTATTCAGTGGTAGGGTTGTAGCTATCACTGCTGCATTGTCAGGCAGCACTAGACGTGCCTGTGCAGCGACCGCTGCCGCCTGCCAGGTGGTAGGCTTCGTACGGCACGGCCAGTTGAAGTTACCGTAGCCGAAAGCTGAACTAAATTATTTGCTTTATTTTGTCTATCCCTCGGGAGGTTTTTTCAGCACATTTTGTGCTCATCTTGTTTTGTTGTTGCTGCGGTTTCACATCAGCTCCCCCCTGCGCCGCGGCCCCCCGCCAATCGACTTCTGCGAGCGGCTCGCCGTCCGCCCAGTTTCGCCGCTTGAGGAACAGCGCCGACAAATTTACTTGTGAAAGCTTAAATTCATTCCTTCATTGTTTGATTTAGAACTGTTGGAGCTCGAAGTGGGTAGTGCGTGGTCTTGCACCGCGGCAACTGGCTGCGCAATAGCGGCGGCAGCCGACAGCTCACCGCGAAGTGCCGGCAATCGATTCGGAATACACACGTGGGTGCATGCATTCGCCTTCTAGCTGTTTAATTCAGGTAGACGGGGCAATTTTTAAAGCCCCTGCAGGATTTCAGCAGCGACCCATCGGCGCCGAGGTGACAGCCGGACTCCTCCGGGCGCTGGCCGAGGACAGGCAAAGTAGGCAAGTGAAGCCGCCGATCCGGAAATTTGTTTCAAACTGGAGTCATTCTACTTCTTATATATCCAATTTGAGTGGATGTGAGCCCCAAGCAGCTGCCAATAGACATTGTGTCCGCGCTAGCTTCACCCGCGGCAAGACCACTAACGTCAGATCGTTCAGGTGTACGGGTCGCGCCCCATAGAAACAGGCTGACGGGCTGCGGCAAGGGTTCTGCGGGTTCTCTAAAGCTTCAGTACAATCGTCTTCATACGTTTTGGTCGTAGGAAGTCATGTCACGCCTCCTCACAGGCTGGCCGTGTCTCACGAGCCGCACTGCGGCACCAGGTGCTTTCAACAACCAAACCCTATCCTATATCTTGCTGAAATTCAACACGAGACCTTCGCGGATCTCTAAACAGGCTTCGGGCCACATAACAGGTCACCCACAGCATCGCTGAGAAAACCAGGGCAGACAGAAACGGCTAGGCAGCCATCTCGCTGCGTAACGTCGCGGCTCCTCACGCGGCCACCCGCAGCGCTTACGGCTGTCATCGCATACCGCAAAGGATTTTAGAAACCTGTTTATTTGCCTAAAAGCGCAGGAAACCGCAGCCAGTTGCAGTGGCTTTTCTAGGTCGGCCGTAAATATCGTGGAGCGGCGCTCCTCTCATCTGCTGCCGGCGTCAGCTGTGGGTTGAGTGCCTCAAGAGACCTTAAATCGCATCGCATCCGCATATCGGAGGCTATCACTTTGTTTTTTGCATCCCGTAAGGCCAGGGAACTCAGTGGGCGGCTTTAGGTGTTTGCCGCGTAGTCAGGCCCAGTGGTCTCCTTGGAGGGGGTTGCGCTTTCTGTTTTCAGCGTGCCTTTCGTTGCGCAGATTTGTTTCGCGTGGGGCCAATCGTGCGTTTGTCGTAGATCGGCAAAAGTGGTATTGTTTGATTGGGCTTGCGAGGAAATCGCAGGCACTCCAACGGTTTTATAGATCGGCGCCTCAAGCCGCGCCACGAGGTTTGATAGGAGAATCCAAGGGAATTTAATTGTACCAATTGATTATTTACACAGCTAAGCTCGCGAGCCTCGCGACTTGACAGACACAAACGCAAAACACGTCAGTCACCTTAATCTGACGAGATGCAAGGCGGAGCAGCGGGAGAAGCGCTGCACGCTGCAGGCCTGGCCGCGCTGAGCTCAGGCAGCAGACCCTCGAAACCCTCATCCAAAGCAGTGGAAAGGGAGGCTCCTCTCTCAGGGTTTACTTCGTACCGTACAGTGGCCGCGCGCGCTCTGAAGGAAGAAGGTAAAGCCAGGGTAAACGTGCCTGCAGAGCTCCCTGAGACAGTGCCAGCCAAGGGCCGAGGGGGAACCTCACGTTCGGCCGAAAAACACGGGAAGGAGGGAAGAGGCAGAAGTAACAAATCGGGGGGCCCAAAAGATGCCAGTGCGTTCTCCTGTAACTCGAACAAATCAGACAAAAAAAATTACGAGCAAGAGAAACGGCTGCAGGAGGAAATTAGGCTGCTCTGCTCGCTGCCCGTCTTGGATGAAAAACTTGAGAGCCCCCAAGAACTACTGAGGCTCAAGACACTCTTCGTAGGAGAAATAAGCAATGGCATCCCAAGACGTAAGTCTGAATGCCTTTTAGACCGAAGCTACACTGCCCAATAGATATAATATGGATAGGGATGTAGCCCTTAGTAGCGCAGAGCGTTCTTTGTATCCTTGTGCCATATTTCCTCAGGGCGCCCCCCCGTGGACGAAACTACAGGGCGGCTGCTTTACTGGGATCGGCGTTGCTATTCATTTGATACTGGAGGAGCCAACTGCGCATCTGGTCTGAGTTGCATCTTCTGTCATACAGCAGAGGAGCTATTACTGCATCCTGCGCGCTTCCGGTCGGAGCTAATCACCTCCAGCACAGAAAACGCCTGGCACTGCGCTACATCGATAGCTGAGCTGCGCCTGAGGGCCCCGGAGGCATATGGGCTGGATGCTCACTTGAGGCGTCTACACGGGAAACAGACACAAGAGGCAGGATTGGCGTCAGACAGCAATTGCAGACAAAACTCCGATAGACCAAAGGGAAAACAACTATGTGCAGGTAACATGCCGCAAACGCCAAAAAAAACGCAGCTCACGAAGCAACAGAGGCAGCAGCAGCAGCAGCAGCTGTCTAGGCAGAACTCAGGAGGCGGCACGACAAAGGAGGGACGGCAAACACAACAGAAGATTAAACAGGCTCTACCGGAAGATGGCAGGGCGTATAGCAGCAGTAGCACTGAAGTGAACAGCGTCGAAGACTCCTGTGGTAGCAACTCAGGATGCTGCAGCGGCGCGGACTGCGGCATTCTGTGTGAGATGACTGGCAGCAGCTCACCCGTACATGACAGTGTAAACATGCTGGTAAAGAGCCCTAGCAGCAGCGGATTCAAGACGAAGCTGACGTCGCATCTTGATTCCTCAGATACAATGCATGTCGTGAAAATAAGCCGAAATGAGCCCCCATCCCCTGCAGGCAGCAACAGCAGCGGCAGCGGCAAAGGAGTGGAAGAGATTGCGGTTACACCGTCCGGAGGGAAAAGCACTCGACTGGCATTCAACTGGCCCGATAGTGACGGGTCACTGAACCTTTCTTCTTTCAAGGTCTTTCCATGCCGCCATAAACACTCTGTGTCTCATGACAAGAAATACTGTCCGTTTTACCATAACTTCAGAGACAAGAGAAGGTAAGCAGAAAGAGACATGCAAACCTTGAATCCTCCTTCAAATTCTCCAAGTCACCACACTGGTTGTTCGCTGTTCACAGCAGCTCGCTTTGCATTTGTCCCCGAGTGAACAGGAAAGTTAGCTTGAAAATTGGGGTCTTGGAGCTTAAGATTTCAGCGTTTCATTGCAGACGGCTTAGGTGCTGTGCGTTACTTGCTGCTGCAGATTTCCTGTCACATACCGGGCAGAACAGTGCGAAGAGCACTTCGACCTAGACTCCTCATCGCTGCAGTGCTCCAAGGGAGATGCGTAAGTCTGCAGTCTGCACTGCGCAGCTAATAACAAGTGGCGGGGAGAACAAGGGACGCTGTGTATTTGCCGTGCACTACGATCTTGCCAAGCGAAAGCGTTTGGTGCAGCCTTTGAGGCTCAATCTGACTCAATGTGCACACGTGTGTTTTTTTTTCTGTACGAAGTTGCGACAAAAGCCACAACCGACACGAGCTCCTCTATCATCCGAGTATATTTAAACAAAGATTCTGCTCATCATACGCCACGCGAAACGGAGTACGACTTCCTTAGACTTTTGCTTGTCTGATAGGCTGCTGATTGCTTGCTTGCTTGCGTAGACGAATAGAAAGTTTGAAAGCAAGAGTAGCAGGTATAGGCTTTTGACCTCCGCTGCTGTATCCTGGCATTGTGCCTTTTCCCGCAGACTGAAAGATGCGGTAGAGGACACTTCTGCGCGTTTGCGCATACCCGAGAGGAGGTCCGCGCACCCCTTTTTACAGTGCAGGAGGAAACGTGCCCATCGGTAAGTAAAACAAGAACACGACGGACAACCTAGTCAAGCCATGTGACTTAACACATTCGGAGTAAACGTACTAGCCCTTGGGCAGAGTCAACTGCCTGCAGATGCACGAAACCAAGAAGTTGATGGCGATACGTGGATTTTGCTTGTGATTTTGTGCTCTTGCAGAGTGACTTCTTCATGCAACATTTCAAAACCGTATGGTGCCCCTACGGAGTACAACACGACTGGTATACATGCGTCTACGCCCACACGTATCAGGACTGCCGACGGTCGCCTCAAGTTGGTAAGTTGAAGTACGGCTGACCGCCTGCAAAACGTTAGCGCTTCTGTGTGGAAGATGGGATACAAATACGTACGTTAGCTATCAGCTGCTCTCATGCGCAGTGGTTATGAAATGGCACCGGCTAGATCGATGCATTCTATATGCTCAAGCTTGCGTACCTTCAGGCTACGGTAGCGAGCCCTGCCCCGCCTGGAATAAGGATGTCCATTCCGCCGACTACAGTAGACGGTGCCCTCACGGGTAAGTCAAAATGGGTTTCTTAATCTTGCTGAGCTAAGTGGCACACTGTCAGCCATCGCGACTCCTGCCTGCGTGTGAACCCAGGATTTTTTCTTGACTCTTGATTTGTACGCACGCCAGACATGTGTCTTCCTAATCTTTTATGCAGGGCGGCACTGAGCGCTGTAAAAGGCAGAACACAACTGCGTTCGTATCATTCAAGTCCTGTTGTGTTTACGCAGAACCCTCTGCCCGTACTCGCATGGAAGCAAGGAACAACTCTACCATCCATCTTATTACAAGACAATGCCGTGCATGGATTACAGGTCTAAGGACCGCAACGGGAACAGTTGCCCTCGAGGCGTTCTTTGTGCATTCTACCACGAAGCTAGCGAGCGCCGCTGGCCCGTGAGAATGGCCATTGACTACAGCTCGCCACTGCCGCCCCAAAGAAATGCAGCTTTGCAACCTCAATTCCTGCGGCCTCCCCTCTTTAATCTCGACGACTTTGAAGCCTTTGGACACACCAGGTACAGATTATATGGCTGAGCTGAGGTACAGACACCCTTTGGGGTTCGTGCACGACTTTGGAGGAAAGCACGGCAACGGCTGTTCGCTACAGCCGTAGCTCTTACTGTCTGCAATGCGTATATTTTAGCGTGTGGAATATGCTCTACAAGCATTTGTACATGCTTGCACATACGGATGCACGTATACACATTCCACCGTCGAAAGCGGTGCATTTTTCGTGTTTCTGGCCGTGTGGTTCAGCCGCAAGACAAATGCAAGAAAGGAAATGGCAACCCCTGATGCCTCGAACAGCAATCGGCGCAATGGAGGCCCTAGAAAGGGCGACGGCACTTCAGCAACGACTTTGAAGTCGCCTGCGTCTGGCCTTAGACGGCGGCTGCTTGAACAGCAAGCAAACACTGGAGCTGTGAACACGCCTACCAGCTACGGGCTGGACAACGACCACCAACGTCAGCAACAGCAGCAGCAGCAGCAACAGCAGCAGCAGCAACAGCAGCAGCAGCAGCAGCAGCAAATGCAGCGCCTGGTGATGCAGCGGCAGTCGAACTGCGGGAGTTTCCAGGAAACAATTAACAGGAACACCGCTTCGGCGTTTTCTCCTGGCTCCGACTTCAAGCAACAACAACAGCACCAACAGACACAGCAGCATGACCAGCTTGCTGAGGCTCAGGCGATATCCATTGCAGCAGACCTCTCGGCTCTGAATATGGGATCATCTCAGTGGCAACCAGAAGTGCACCAGCAAAGCTTTCAAGCTGCTGACTTAGCAGACAACTTTAAATTCGATATTGGCCCTGGCGGCAGCACATCCTGCCTGCCCTTCGGTCAGCAGCAGCAGCTTGTACAACAGCAGCAGCAGCAGCGGGCTCTGCAGCATCTTACAGCCGGCTTGACTGCGCCAGACAACAACATGGGCCGTTCTCCCTACAATTCGTGGATTGCGCAGCACATCACAGAAGAGTCACCTGCAGATTCCTCCTCCAGCCGACCAGTGCGGGAGAGCCCCGCAGGACCAGGGCAATCGAGTCTCTTGTTTCCTAATCACGATTCGATAAAATGTCCATACACCTCTCGCGTGCAACAGCAAGGTGAGCGATTGTACGGCGGCGCTGCGATTCCCAGTGGTCTCCTGGCCCCCTCCCCTTGGCGGGAGTCTCCAGGAGAGGCTGAATCACTGTCGGCGCCAAGTCCACCAGAACTGCTGAAAGTGCGGCACAACGCTGGAGTGATTCCATCCTTGGAGCCGCAGCATGGAAGCAGCACGGAAGCACCTGCAGCTTGCAGTGTTGGACTGTTTGACAGCAGCGGTGTGTGGGCAACAACAAAGCCTGAGCTTTGCATAGGTGAGGGCACTGAATTAGGCTCCTGTCTGAGACCGCCAAAAGACCGCAGCAGCAATGACGCGGCTGACGTGCTCCTGAAGATGCTTGGCAGAGCGTCTCACGCTTGCAGTGTGAACGCAAGCTCTCCCCTCCACGGCGCAGAGGGGGCTGCCCTTGTGTCGAGCGAAGAGGAGCTGTCAGAATCGGCCTCTCGGCTGCCACCGATCCCACCTCCAACTCTGCACTGGTATTGCCAGCCAACAACCGAAGATGAGTTTAGCAGGAGCAGCAGCAGCAGCAGTAGCTACGGCGTGCAGCGGCAGCAGCAAATGGCCTCTCCTGCACTTGTCGCTGAGCAGACAGAAGAGCTGCTGTACGAACAGGAACACGGGTTGGGAAACTCCGGTGAAGAAAGCTTTTTTTGCTCCATGAGCCTACAGAAACTGGTAGCCTTCGACTCTGCCTCCGCCCTAGACAGACTCGACCCACAAGGAGGAGGAATCACAACACCCCCTTTGTCCTTTCCCATCGGTGCGGGGCTGTCTGCAGCTGCCTGCAGCCTCATCTCAGGCAGTGTTTCTGCACGGCTGCTGGGGACCCACCTGGCGTCGGTCTACCTTGTAGCTGCCAACCACTCTCACCAGCAGCGGCTGGCGCTGCGCCTGGTCAACGCGCGGGCCTGCCCGAAACTGCTGCTACTGCACGGGTCAACAGGATCTGACAGCCTGAAAGCGCAGCTGCAGAATAGCAGTGGACTCTCTGGCTACTCTCTTGTGTCTTGGGGCACCAACGGTGATGGAAGCTTTGCCTTTTGGAGGGCGGCGGGTGCCGCATTGAGCTTCCAACAGCAGCCTAACGGGATCGAGGAGATAACGGAGCTCCTGGAGCAAGCAGCAGCATGCGGGTCTTGTGTGTTTCTGCTGTACGTACACTCCAACGAAGAGGAGTTGAGTGCAGCTTGCATCCAACTCGCCAACTACTGCGCCAGTGAACAGGTTGTGGCTGCCAAGGCGCGGCTGTTTCTCCTGCATCTTTGTGTCGGACCGCCTTCAAGTGCCCTTATGGGTCAAGTGCTGCGTCACGTGATATCACTCCCACTGTCGCGTCTTCAACACTGGTCGGCACTATTGAAAGACGGAAGCCCAGAAACTGGAAAGGAGCAGCAGCAGCAACAGCAGGATGAGAGAGCAAGTTCGGGACGCTTGGCTGCACCACTTCCTGTAGGGCCTGCCTTTGGTGCGGGTAAAACCGGAGGAGAGCGGCGGCTTCTGTCAGCAGATGAATTTCGTGCAGTCGTTTCCCCCACATGCTCAGCTTATAGCCTCCAGTGCATGCACGAGGATCTACACTGGGGTGATTCGCTAGAGCCAGCATTCGACGGCGAGAGATCAGTCAGCCTGCCGCTACTGCTGCGTGAACTGCGAGAAGCAGTGGCGGCTCGGGCTGAGCTGGGAGACTCCACCGTTTCCTCCATATGTGTTTTACTAGATGCCCACGACACAGCAACCTCCACCACGACAACTGCAGTATTAGAGACGCTTGCAAACAAGTGCAATGGGCCCCCAGGTTTCCTTTCGCTACCGCCGACCAAAGTCGTGGTCTGTGAAGACACTGCGTCGCTGCGGGATAGCCAACAGCTGCAACACCAACAGCAACAGCTACAACAGGAAGAACACACACTGAAACTTGTCCCTATACAAGCCGAAACTGGCGCTATAATGAGATGGAAGCAACTGTTGGGTGCCTCTGGCGTGTTCCGCTATACCACTGGAGACTATCACCAGCAGCCGCAGCAACAGATGCCGTTGTGGTCAAACTCGGGAAATTGGCGTTTAGGATCGTCTCAAGAGCAGTCAGCAGTGTTTCGACGCTTTGTAAGCGCCCAAGACAAGGATGTACTCTATGGCTTCCGGCTCCTGGCGGAGGCGCAGGCGCCTTCAAGAAGCCTCAGAGGAATCCTGCGATGCGTCAATACACTTCGACTTGAACTGGCTGATGCACCTGCGGGGGCAACTGATGCAGCAGCGGCTGTATATCTAGAGCCCCCTGCGATAGCACAGGCAGCAGAGGCTCTGTGGGTCAGCAGTCTGCAGGAACTCGTCCAGGGAAACGTACATGGGCTGAACTCCGCACTTAGCGAAGCAGTAACGGACGGATGCGATCAGCAACATGAGAAGGCGACAATATGCTGTGTATGCGGGGAAGAAGTAGAAGATCTATGTCAGCTAACAGCAGCAACAGCAGGCACGGGAGCTACAACGCTTTGCCCTCATCAGCACCACGGCAGCTGCCGAGAAGCACTGCGTGCTGGGGGTTGCTGGCCATGCCCATGCTGCATGCTTTGGCCTCTTTCGCGGTCCATCAATAACGCCGAGGAGCAGCAGGATCAGCTGCAGTCGTCGCTTCCATCTGAGAGCTTGCGTCGACTGGTTCGGAAGGTCTGCGACGCGGTAGTTGAGGCATACGGACTTTTGCAGCATCTGCACTCTGTTGCTCACGGATATATGGAGCCGCGGTGTAATTTTTTCTTTTCGGTGTTGCCCAAAGAGGTCATTGTGTCGGTGGGAAGAGAGGGTGAGATATCCGTCTGCATTGACTTGGCCTCACCACGAATCCTGCGGGCTGCGTTGCAGCCGACAGACAGCAGCAACAGCGTTGGCGGTGGCAGCAAACCCAGAGAAAGCCTCTTAGGGGCTGTTTTGGGGGAGCTGGTGTCTCTGCTGCTGACTAAAGGCATCGCAGCTAACCATCGGCTTGGCAACTCCCCTCTCGTTGACGACCTCCTTAGGACCCTTTGGCAATGCAACTCCGCCGATGCGCCACACAGCCAACAATGCGCTGCCCACCCTTTCTTCTGGTCCAGCACAGAGCGCCTCTGCTTCCTGCAGGTGGCGCTAGCGCTAGCTCACGTGCCGCAACAACAGCAGCAACATGGCAACACAGAAGGTGCGTGGGGAACTCAGCTGTCTGGGCATCTGCAAGGCGTTAGCTGTACTGGACAGTCATGGCTGCTGGAGAAGGCGCGGAAATATATTTCTGAAGTAGAAACAACCGTCGCCGGCCCTCCGGCCCTGAACCTTATGCGTATTGTCGACCTGTAAGTCAGGACATAAGTGCATGACAGATAGCGTTTGTCTACTCTCAAAAGATTGACACTGGCATGTACTGTACGTACAGCTGCAGCTGTTTATGCTTTTGGCTGTGTGGTGTTCTTGTGGCTTGTCCTTATCTTTCCCAGTCTCCGACAGCGGTGGCTCTCTTTCAGCAGCCAACTGACTTCTGACGAAGTTGAGCTGCTGTTGCAAGAGGTGGGGCTGAGCGCATCTCTGCAGCAGCAGCAGCAGCAGCAGATGATGATGCTTCTGCTGGTGCAGCATGCCGACCAAGTGATTGCGCATCACGTGGAGCTGGAGGCCCCCGAGCTTATTTTGGCGGTCTTCACGTTGGCTCGCACAGACTCCGACGTTCTTGAGGTCAGCACAATGGGCTAAAGTGAATAGATTTTACTCATGCACGTACATCATCTCCCTCTTAATGGCGCGATACAGGCACACAACGTACATTTGTTGCAAATAAGTTTACTGTCCGTCGCATACGCCTCTGATTTGATAGATCTTGTATTGACTACGGTTTTGCCGTACAGTATGTAGATACGATTGAAAGATGCAACGCTCGGGGGGTCTCAAATGTGTAGCTGCCACCCAAAGATAGGTTGCTTACGATTGTATGTGCGAGCATGCAATCTACACAAACAGGCATCTTGCATATTTGCGCAGTTCTGTATGCACTCATATTTGCTGTTTATACTTTCAGATGATGCACGCGTCGCCGTCTCTGGCCTCCCTACGCCCTGCCCTTCGCGGTGCCAAATTGGACCCGAACTAAACCCGTCAAAGACGCGAAACACCGGGTACAAAACTAACAGGCTAGCTACCTAGTTGGGAGGAACGGATCTCGTGCGCATGCAAGCAGTTTCTCTGGCTGGCATCTCCTGAAGCACTTCTGCCGAGGCTCGAAGGGGAGTTTTTTTGGTGTCCGAGTATTTGCTTGTGCAATTAGTATTGTGCGAGGTAACTCTACGATTTTAGGTCTAAACGCACAGTGGCAGTGGCCTCAACGGGTGCTTAATGTCTCCTGCTTGGGCTTGGCGCTCATCACACGTGCAAGTCTTGCTGTATGGTCTAGGTCAGCTGACTGCACTACGAAGCTCCGCACTGTGTACACGCGAAATGAAACTGCAAATAGCGCACAGCGGCTGCACATAAGCTCACCACTCTTCGAATCGAGAAGCTGTTCAGGTGTTTTATTATTGTTAGTTTTCCGGGCTTTAACTGGGTGCCCTATCCGTCGCACGCCCTGACTAAACAAGTGGCTTCCTGGGCAGATAGAGGCAGCAGCAGTCCCTAGAGTGAATTTGTGAAATGTTTTGGGTGTCTGTCTCATCAGAGCCCGAGGTATGTATTTAGGCCGCAGCGGAGGCGCTTCTCGGGTATCGCCGCAGCTGTTTTCGTAGCAGCGCAACCAAATCGTATGACCGCTGCACTTGTGCTGCTGTAGTTAGTATTTGTACATCGTAACTCGAGGTGCTCACACTCTCCTGTGTGGGTCCTCTTATCCTCAGCAGCAGAATTTTGTATTTTATATAGGTGCCCTGCAGTCAATACCGCCTGCAGGGCGTCCTTATGTATTAACTTTGCGCTGAAAGAATTTTAAGGTTTAATTTGTAGCAACACCAAATGTTGAGGTGGCGTCCCGTGAAGAACTGCAATTACGCAGTGAAAAAGGCAACATGCAGTTTCCATCGCCACACTAGTATCGCCCAGAGAGTAGCGGTTTGGGGCATTTCCCTTTAGTGGAACGTCCGAAGTCACAGAAGGTCCCTTTATTTAAAGGCTCTACGAGTGCCGCCGTCCTACTGTAGCGACAGTCTCGCCTGCACAAACAGATCTAAGATTCTTAATGAGTTGTATAATATTGAAATAAGTTGCTGTAGAGGCTCCGTAGAAGTGTACACAAGTATCGATGGAGGTGATAAAAATCTGCGCAGTGCACGCCCGGAAGGAGAGCGAAAAAAACAGCATTGCCCGACTTCACTCTCGCTTTTGTGAATACAAATTGGCCTCGTACTAAATCCGTGGTTCAGTCTAGAGAGAAAAGAGTAATTCCTGAATTCAGGTACGAATTCACTCCTGCCAGACAGCTGATGGCACGCCTTACTGCTCAGGGTGAAGCGCACATCATGTTCTTGTCTTTGCCTCTCAGTCAGCTCTAATTACAAAATACCTTACTATGTGCAACACAAAGCAGATACTTTTCTATAGCCTTAACAGGGACACCGCTCTGACCAAGGCCCCGACCTTCATGCATGCAGCTCTGCCTACCATCGTGTCTCCGTCCGTATTTGCTCGACATATAGCTTTCTGAGATGTTCCATTAGTCGAGCTTCACGGTTTTAGCTATCCTAGGGGATCAGTCTTTTCTACGGGGAGAGTATCGCTGAAATTATGACCTTTCTTACCATTCGTTGAATAGTGAGCTGCAAGCACATTGAGATCTGTTCCTCCGGAAGATCTTGTGCAACAACTGCAGACCACTGCTTTTCTTTTATACTGATCATATCCTCTATTTCCCTTTTCTCTTGGATTTCTGTCAGTGTGTATTTTCGATTATGAGGCCAGGGCAGGAGGGATGGCCACACTGCTGTCCCACCGCTCCAAAAGCGGCTCAACCGCCTCTAGGCTCTGCTGCTCTTTTTGGGAGCCCCTCTACAGCTCCTCTGCATGGCGCTAATGCAGTATCAGCTGCTGCAGTCACCTCTTCGCAAGTGGACGCATTGCAGCATCAGCAGCATTCATCGTTGGCTTGTCTGTGGGGGACTCCACGGCCGCGCCAACCTACCCCACTGCCCACCGATACGTTTCCGCGGAGACCAGGCTTTCCTCTGGGCTGTGCCGTGCAGAGGGCCGCCGATGCGGTGCATGCAGGTAGCACTGAACCCCCGATATTCCCTGGTATGCATGCATTTGAGGAGCCCGCAGCATTTGGGGTCGGCAGATGCGGCGGCGCCTCCTTAGGGACGCTGAACTCATCATGGCGGGGTACCCACTCGCCTGGATTTGGCTCTCCAGGAGTCTGTATGTCACCAAGAGCAGCCGCTGCTACAGCCAGCATTGGCGACAGAGCGTCGGCCCAATCAGGCACTTTCTGCCACTCCCCGCGGCCGCTAGGACCACTAGGGGAGGACAGAGAAACTGTGGAGGGGTGGGGCGCTAGCGGCTGGGGTGGCGACTGCGCTGGCGTTAAGCAGACCAGTGGTGATGCCGCGACTAGCAAACTGTCAGCTGCCCTCCTAGGCTATTTCCCCGACGAATTTTTGAGCCACTTCGTCACCCAGCCAATACGCATGCAGCCACTCATAAATAGAGGTGAGAAGCAGTACAAAATATACACAAGTAGGTGAGTAGGGGGAGTATCTTAGTTCAGCTGGCTGTTACTATTCCCTCCGAGCTGCATATAGGAGGATCCTGCTTTGTAAGCGTTCTCTCCGTTCTTTTCAAGCAGTAGAGAGGGATTTTTGGCTTATTTGAGGGCCGCTCCCTGGTTTGCCTTCCATTTCTAGTGCCACATTCATGTGCTCAACTTAGCGATTGGACTGGCGAACTCAGGTGTAGGTTTTTAGGCGTGGGAGCCACGCAGAATTAGTATAGGCAAGCGTTGCTCGCCAGGGTTCGAAAAATGTGGCCAAGGGGGGAAGTGGATCGAGAGCTTCAGATGTAGATAAGGAGAAATAATATGAAGTTGCAAATGGATAAAGTGGACAGGAAAAAACGTTTCAGTCGTAGACGGATAGGAAAGTTGGCAAACAGTCACACATTAACGTAGAAATGAAAGGACAAAGATGCATAGAGATCCAAGCAGATAGACCCGCAGAGATACTTATATCGGGAGATAATGTGATCTCTTTCCGCAAGCATATTTCTGCGGTTTGCTGTCTCATCGTGCATAGCTGTATATCTGTTTACTTCTCTCTTTTCAAATTTTTGTCTATGTGCTCATCATGTCTTTCTCGCTCAAAGGCTATTATTCACGAGTCGAGGCCATTCGCCGTCTCATTAAATCATTTTTAGAGGACGCTCAAAGCCTAGCCACCAAGCGGCAGTCACGGCAGCCAGCTGGGGAGGCCGAAGCCGAAATCTCTTGCAGTAACCGGGATGCTTCAGGCCAGTCGGCAGCTACTGCTGTGGTTCCCCCAGTGGGGGCGGCGCAGTGTACCTTCCAAGCACAAGAGAATGCAGCGTGCGTGGGTCAGGCAAGGGATAGCATGAATGGAGAGGGAGGCAACCCTATTGCTCAAGTTGTCAACATAGGAGCTGGGGCAGATACTACTGCTTTCTTTCTGGCGGTAGGTACTTCCTTGTCCAATAGTTTGCTTCTTTATCGAGTGGTTTATATAGGTGGATTGCTGCAGCTGCACCTTGCATTCATCTCATTGGCGTCATGGATGCACGCAACTGTCGTGCATGCATGCACTTGCCCATGCATGGGTAGATGCACACCAAGAGTGAACGGCTTGTGCATTTATCTGTCATGTGCCGTCTACGTGGCCTCTGAATACTTATTTTGTGCTTCTGTCGTTCCTTAGTGTTCGACGATTCCAGTATGTGCATTATATGCTTGCGTACGTTTGTCCCCTTCGCCCTTGCATGGGTGCACGTGCTCCCGCACAAGTTCGGGTGAGTGCAACCTGTTTATATGCTGTGCTCGATTGCGCTTTGCAAATGCTGATTGCAGCGCCAAGGCAGCGCAGTTGCGTTTGACATTGACTTTCCAGATGTTTGTCGGGAAAAAGCGGCGGTTATCCGGCGGTTTGTTCCCCTATTCTTAACCTTTTACCCAGATTTAGTTTTTGTTGTGTGCCCTCGACTGCATATAGGTTACACCTAAATATTTTTACCTTTGCGGGTATAGATACAGTTACATCTGTAGACATAATGCATGTACGTTTGATTGCCTTCAAAGCATCAGTTTTCACTGTTTGTGTTTGACCTTAGGGTTCCGGAGCTGCGCGACTGCGTTGGCGCGTCCTGTCAGTCAAGTGTGTCAGACTTCCCGTCGCGTCGACGCTTTAATATTTGTGCTTAAGTTGTTGAGGCTTAGGGTGTGCTGTTACGGTTGGGCAGCAGGGCCCATGGCCCCATGACATTCTGCCGAAACCTTTTCCAATATTCATGCTTTGTTGTGCTATCTCAGCAGCTATTGGCGACTCTTGTGTACTGCGCACGAAAAACTATCGCTTGGTGCGTTTTCTTAGAACAGTTTAGTCATTGCTCTACCTCCTACTCACCATCTTTTTGCTGCGTATACTTGGTTGCCGCTTTTGAAAGTTGACATAACAGCAGATGCGATATGCGTGTTTCCGTTCTGTTGCTGTTGCCTCTGCAGGTTGCGGTGGACATGCGAGATGTGAATGCTCTGAAAGCGGCAATGAAGAATGCGGGCTTAAGGGAAGAGTGGGTATCTGTTTAGCTGACCATAGCTGCAGTTTCTTTTCCTGATCGCTGTCAACAGTAGTGCACGGACATCAAGGCCTACCTTGTTGGATCCTATCCCTTGTGTGTGCGCCGTTTTTGTCTGCAGTCTGCCAACCCTCTTTCTGTGCGAATGCGTCCTTATTTACCTTCGTATTGAAGAGGCAGATGCGGTGAGCTCGCCCAGCATGCAGTTGTATTTCTTATACAGGTAAACAGTGAGCGACTCATTGCTAAAAGAAAACAAACTATCACAGTGCTAGTCAAAACAGTAATAACGGTGCATCCACGCAGCCAGGCTCACCAGTAACTACTATTTGCTAGATTCTTTCTGTGTCGGTTTGTCCTCCGTGACTACGGTGCCTTCGACAGCACTGAGCAAAGTCGTGTTCATGTCCAGGTCCTAGGGCTTAGGGCTTCGAATCCTGTCATCTTGCTAATTTTACGTTCAGGTGCTGCGCTGGGCATCTGCAGCCGTGCCGCTAGCCCCAAGTGCCCTCGTCATATACGAGCAGTTTAATCCAGACGACCCTTTCGGCCGCGTGATGGTCCGCAACCTGCAAGTGAGGGGACACTTCAAATGTCTTGAGTCCCTCTAAGTGTGCTGCCTTAGCCTATTGATCGCTTACTCCAACTATACTGCCTTATAACTTGGTTTACGTAATTTATTTGTGATTTTAAGGTTTAACACCAGACAAAGGATCTGATTCGGTGCTTACAGATGCGCAACTGCCCGCTGCTGACTATAAGGAAGTACCCTACGCTGAATTCACAGCGGGAACGGTAAATGGCACAGCAGTCAGCTTTCTCTTCCTCACTTTATGAGGAAAACAACGCAGTTACCTATCCCTGTTATGACCGGTGATAGTGCCCATGTTTTCCGGGGGAGAGGGAGTTGTTGGCAAGTCGGCAGGGTAGCTGAACTGCTGGTTCGTTCTGACCGCGCTCGAACGTAAAAGGCAGTGTACCTCAGTGCTGCAGCATTATTCGTTCATGCACAGTTTTACGTAGCTAGAGGTGTTCGAGAACACAGTAAGCAAGCGAGAGGAGTCTATTCCGATGTTGTATAGGGGCGTGGGGGTCAGAACGTGGATGCACATGCATGCACACTAGTTCCTTGCACATGCGCGCGTACTTGACGTCCTAAATATGCTCGTCAGCTGCACTGTAAAATGAATTGTGCGAGTCATGTACTCAATCTGTTAAACAGACAGTGCAACACCCAAAAGCGATGCGCCTCCGCGTAGAACTAAATGCGTAAATGAAGTGGTTCATTTGTTGCATGCTTCCCACTTTTTAGGTTTGCTGAACAAGGCTGGCCCGAGTGCAGCCTTGCGGACATGCGGAGAGTTTACGAAAAATTTCTCCCCGAGTCCGAAAGAAACCGCGTGCAGGTAAACGTTCGATGCGCTTGTTTTACACAAGTTGATACAAACTTGATACAAACACTTTCACAACGAACATATACGCATACACTGTTTCATTCAGTTACGCAAAATTGTGCAGCCAAGGTGATACTGTGCGGATGCCTTCGCATAAAGCTTAAAAGAGTCTGATGCTGAGAAGTCACCTTTTCAACTCTCAGCGACTGCACGAACTTCTGTCCTTATTTCTTCAGGCACTAGAAATATTTGATGAGCTGGAGGAGTGGTGGCTAATTCAGAGCCACTATTTCCTGGGTGTCCTCTTGCGCCCGGCGCCTCCTCAGGTTTGTGCTCACATCATGCATATGCGAATGCGTTGTTGCACCTGGCGCACGGTGTGGAAAGACATCTGAAAACCGCAATTCTTCCGACAGGAAACACTGTATGCTGCACTGCTCAGGTGGGGGGATCAACGCTGAGCAGTCTGGTTGGCGTGTTCGAACGAAGCGACGGGCAGTGAAGCATAAGCTCACTCGAAGCTCCGTCTTTGGGTTATTCGCTGCATGGCAACACTGCATCCAGCCGGTCGCACAAGGACTGAAGCAGAGGCATCTTGACACACTCCATGTCGTCCTCCATATGGTTCACATCTTTGGGGCCAGCCAGAGGCACAATATCACGGTGTATTAAATAGCGGAACCACAGCTGCACACCACAGCAAACATCCCAAGCCGTCACCTCGATTACTCCAATCCTAACCCTGTGTCTTTTCTCTGAGGCGCCCAAATAATGAAGCGGATCAGGGCCAGCAGCCGCTGAACCCTACCGCCATATGAGCAGCCACGTGCATGTGCATACCGCACTTCCACTGCGGGGACGGACGTCACGTCATCCACTACAACAATTCTCTGGGTGTACATACCGCGCAGCATGGCCACGCGTATTTGCTGCAGCTGGAGCACCACCACAAAACTGCGGCACCACGTTGTCTACACGCAACAGCAACTACAGCTGTTGCTACCTAGCTCTGTCTGTGCGCACAACACTACAGCTACGTGTTGTAGTTGTCAGAGTATTGGGGTGTCGCTTTGTTGCCCCCTTCGCCCGCTGCCGGCGATCCGGCAATCAAGCACGCCCCCTAGTTCCCTGGTTTTTTCCAATTCTACCAGCCCCGCCAAGCTCTATTTAATGCTGGCTTCGACACGAGTTTCTCACTGACCTGTTCTGGAGAGCATCTGAGCCTGCTGGCTATCCTGGTGATGACAGGGTTCCGCAGGATGTGGGGATTGGCCGTAAGGGTCCAGAAGCCTTGGTATACCACTTGGTTGCCGCGACACCAGGCCCTGAGCTCTGCGTCGTAGCCTGTGGCTGCGTAGAACCTGTTCTGTACAATTGCAGGTTTAACTTTGGCTGCGCTGTGCAGCTGTTGTAAGTCGCTCAGCGAGTAGCAGTTACTGATCCCCAAGACTCGCACGTAGCCGGAGTCCACGGCTGCCTCGAGACCTCTCCAGGCCTCCAAAGTCTCCTCCATGGTGTCCAGGGGAGAGTGCAGTAGCACCGCGTCAATGTAGTCCAAGCCTAGCTCCTTTAGTGAGACCTAAAATGTGCAGCGAAAGTAATAAGCGGACTAACGTGTAGGCATCGCGCCTGTCCAGGGATCTAAAAGGTTACGAACAGTTGAAGTCAATTTAAAAAGAGGAGTAAAATATACGGGTGTCTCATGCTAAGCAAGGACCAAAGAGCTGCTTACCTGTATGCTCTTCTTGACTTGTTCACGAATCGGCAGCTGGGGGTCATAGGGAATACTGTTCGGGTCTTGCCCGCCAACTGGTGTAAACTTGGTCTGTATGTACAGTTCATCTCTTTTGATATTCATTTGTGAAAACGCCTCTGATAGAGCCTCTCCTAAACCTCGCTGGTTGTAGTGCTTTGGTTGGCAAGCTGTATCGAAGCCCCTGAAACCCTCACGAAGCGCCATATGACACAGCTCCGCCGTGCTCTCTTTTTTCCAAGCAGTCCCATATATTATCCTCGGCATTTTGACGACGGGGAATTCACTGGCAAGATCTGCAGCTGCGCCAGAGCCACAACCGTTTGTCCGAGCTATGGCGCCCGCGGCGCGCAGCAAAATATACGGATTAGGGGGTTGGATGGCCCCCATTTCGACAGTTTTGTCTTAGCAATGGACTTCGAATCGAGGATGAACGTTAACTTGAAAGAAAAACAGCGGACAGAAAGCCACGTGAGTCTCCCTCCAGTTGGCGCGCCGACACGACGACCACCACGTGTGCGCGGAGCTGATCAACTGTATATGAGCTGCTTTTACTTGCCAGTAAAGCCCCAACCAAAACTCATCAAACAAATATGGAATAGATTGCAAAGTCTCGACATATTGTTGGCATTTGTTTTCCGAAACCTCAGGTCAGCGCGGCCCCACAGCCGACGGCGGAATAAAGCAGCGAACAGTGACCAGTGCTGCTCCGCCTGCGCGCCCACGTGTTTCGCGTCGCTGATAGAACCACACAAAGTGAATCATTATACAAATTCTAGTGTGAATAGATAACTATCAAAAAGAGCTCCATCGGCACTAGGCGCGCCAGGCCTGATCAAGAAGCCCCGTGAGGTGGCCGTCCTCAACTGGCCAGGTTTCTGATCCAAATTTTGTCCTGAATTACTGAGTACATGCCCGTACTTTCTAAAGGAGTACACAGTGAATTAGCTTCTTGTCTGCGTATCGGTAGAAGCCGTTCACGCAACAGCAATTCAACCAGCCGGCCCGTCGGCTGTGCTTATTGAAGCCAGCCGTAGCTCTGGCAGCTGGCAAACGCCGGGTTCTCTGCTTGTCTTGCTGTGGTAATTTAGACTTGTTGATCATGGCTTCAGATCTCCAGCTGTAGGAGAAGGACGGCACAGCAGCATGCACCGCGGCGGAAGGGGGATTCTCCATCGTTGTTGCTGCCGGCTCCCTTCAGCTGAAAGAAAAGGCTGAACTCTACCCACTGCCCCCACACTACCTGCAGCCACTAATTATTCCCGCAAGTTCCCGACAAAAATGCTACTGGCGGTTCCACGGGCGCTACAGTGCCTGAGGCCCCGGAGGCATTTCCCAGCAGCAGCCTTTGTGCTAACACGGGCTGCTAGTTTTGCATGTCATTGTTTCGGAGGCTCCTCAAGGGTGCGGTGGATTCACAGCAGCCAGAAGCAAGCGGGGAGTCAGGAGCTTCAGGGGCTCACTCCACAGCAGAAACGCATTCTTTATCGCAGCAAACAGGTAACAATCCGCAGTTGAAAGCCTTAGCAGACCATGCAGGTGCAAACCAGATCGAATAGCTAGGAGTAACTGCTAAGTAAAGGCAAAGGCTGAGCTGAAACCAATGATGTGAGAGGCATACGGAATCATGTGGATGGGTCTCACAGTGTCGTCAATTTCACACTGTCCTGTTATCCACTAGCACCTCTGTACGTACACACATATATTCAACTGTTGCCTACACATGTATACTTAGTGTGTATGTTTATGCACGACCTTTACTTGCTTGCACATGCATGCGTATTCGAGTGTGTGGACGATGCTGGTGCAGCGCGGGTGGGTTGAGTTGGACCTCATCCTCAGCGCATTCACGGAGAGAAGCATCAAAACATTTCGTTTGGAGGCAAGGAATCTCACACGTGATTCAAATTACTATGTTCCCCCGAAAGCGCGGGGAACAAGCCCTAATGAATAGACTTCAGTGCCTCCAACGCGACTCCCACTGACTTAGATGCCTCCTCATGTTTAATTTTGTCACACTGTGACTTCAGGAGCTGGCGGAGCTCGAGAAAATAATTGACGAAGAAAATGTCGTACTCTACGGCTGTCTTGTGGGCGCCGATGGCCACCGCGAGGCCGCTCCACCCCATCTGCAGGACTCAGCTGTTTTCAAGCAGCTGATGAATTTTGCTCTCAACCAATACCCAAATCTCGTGGCTATGCAAACAACGAGCAGCAGCGCGGCCGCACCAAATCCTAGTTGACCGAAGGTTTCATTTTTAGCTGCCACCGTTTATTTGATCAAGGCATACTCTTTGCAGACGTTTATTTGTATCAAGGCGCGTGCGCCATTTCATTTGTCAGGACACAGCCGTTGGATCGGGGTAAAAGGCAATAGGGGTTTCAGCTTGCCGTTCCAACTATAAAATGCGACACTCAAGCAGTTCATGCGGTTTGGATTGTTGCACGCTTTGGCGTGTTTGCTTGAGTATTTAGCCTATGTGTATCCGTGAGTTTCACGCCTGGCTGCAGTCAGCGCAGCTTTTTTCGCTGTCATCAGCGCTGAGCTCTCCGTCTATCGCTCCAATAATAAAGCGCGGCAAGTCTTCAAAAACGTCCAACCTAAAAAGCTCGTAATGAGTGAAGGAATTCCGGCTTTGAATGGCAGGATAGTAAAATGGCAGCCAACAGTGCTCACGTGTATGTGGCCTTGGTTCGCTGTAGCTTCATGAGTTGACGCCTGAGGAGTGCAGCGGCCAAACTTCAAGATAACTTGCAGAGATTAAGTTGAGCAAATGCGCGAACCTCCAGTTGGGGTGCAGATCTGGCCACAGTTCTTCTGCGGTTTGCACCCGGTCGGAAATCCTTCAGAGCGCGTCAACAATGCATCGACCCATTCAGGAATTTGCGTAGCACTTATAGATGGCAATTTGATCTTACCCTGGAAGCAAATTGCGCTTTGAGTCCGACATGGTGGACATATCAGACAGCGGCACTCCGAAGAACGCGCCGGCCTCATCTGCTGAAGGCAGCGCCAGCAGCACAGCGCTGGGCACTGAGTAATCTTGGAAGTCTGTGCAATGAAATGAGAAAGCAGTCAGTCGAAACCCAAGATCAGTGGAAAGAATCATATTTGCTGCATTATACTGACAGTATCTTGTAGCTTTCCGAGGCGGAAACGCGTAAGTCATTGCAACGAGAAGGCCGTGAGGGTCGAAGTCGGTCAGCAGAAATATCGGCAGCTGGCTTCCAAAACGCTGACGAATGTGCCACAAGACGCTCCGCGCGCTGATATCTGAATTTAAAAAGCACAAACCATTAACACCACTTCAACAACTGCTGAACACAGGCTCAACGAAGCAGCTGCAGCAAACACAGCAGCAATCGTCGCCCAGAAGACAACACCCGGGTATGAACTTCCGGGCATGTGCAACTCTAACTTAGCCCGAAGAAGCAGCAGCGAAGTTGATAGCAGCCACCACAGGTGCAGCTGCAGCGACGGCAGCAGCAACTGCATTTGCACACTAACAACAGCAGCAGCAGCAGCAGCAGCAGCAGCATGCGCAGCCATCACCTGGGAATCCTTTGCCTGTAAGAAGGACGCAAGGGCCGTGCCTGAAAAAAAGAAAAGGTGCAGACTCTAAGTAGCAGGGGCAGATAAGCCTCGGCTACGACTAACCGCTCCATAAACTGCGAATCGATAAGGGAGTAGAAGATTGTTTCTTTCTCCACAACCTGAGCCGCACAAAAGAAAAGCTAGCGAAAAGCGCCAGTTGTCTTTTTGCATTTTCTCACCAAGACAAAACGGATGTCCTCGCTTGCGTGCAGCACCTTATCCAGCCCGAGGGAGGACACGAGGTGGCCTCTGCTCTTCGCGAATGTCTTACTTTATTCTTGCCTCTTGTGATTAAAATATGAATTGAATCACCTCTAGCGGATTCCCACAGTCGCTTTGTACCAGCCCTGTGCCTGGGAGCGCTACGATGCAGCTGTGAGGGGAACAGCAGAACAAATCAGACCGTACACGTCCTTTCTTGTATTATAATTGGGCCCTTTATGATGCATTTTGATGTGCTGGTGATGCGGAGCTCCTCGCGGGGTGTTTTCAAGAACTGGGTGAGGGCCGCTACGCCTCTGTCGATGACCCGCTGGGAAGGCGCTATGGTAACGTTGGAGTAATACACATGCCGCAAGGTCGAGTAACGCTTTTCTGCGTGAAGGGACAGGATAGTTCGCATGATGGCCAGCAGGCTGGCAGAACGCTGAATGGATCTGTCCGAAAGAGGCGGGAACAAGAATTCGGGACTGTCAGTGGCCGTATTCGACTCATTGTCCGCAGCAAAAGACTCAGGAAACAGAGTTTCATCTTGAGAAACCTTTGTTTCGGAGTCATTCGCTGGATCCTCCGAAATTCTGTGCAAGAAAAACAATACCAACGACTCAATGCGCGAAACTATGGATTCAGCAGATGGAGCGAGAGCGCCATCTGAGGGCAAGTTACTCTCCATGGCTAGCAGTTGCTGGTTTACGAAGATTGCAAACTGAAAAGAGAATATAAGTTTCGAACTGTCGTGAGCGGTTCAGAATACTTCCACCCTCAAGTCGGGCTTCGCAGACACCCGAATTCAGCCGCCGCTCAACAGTGGCAATGGTGGGCGTATTGAGGTCAAGTTTCAGATATTCAAAGTTGATCTGCGCTATTCCTACGGTTAAACTGGCTGTGTGAAGGTTCGAAGAATTCTGAGCACTTTATGGCCGCCGAGTTTCGGTGCTCGCCGCCAGGTCATTGAGCCCGCGTAGTCGTCAGTCGATAGGAAAACTCAGTCAGAGTGTGTGCAGACCGTGCTTCTCAAACCAAAACACACAGTAAATAACTGCTATTATGGCCTTTAGGGGACGGATCGATACTTCTATCGAACAGGATCACTACCACCGCCGCTGTTTCCCACTTCATGAAGCCAAGGCTGCATGCATGAACGAGCAGTTGAACGCCTGCTGCAACTTATTAGTATTTATAGATTACATGTACTTCATTAGCCGTTTGATTGGATTTAATCACTGTACGCTGCTCTTATCTCGGGCCTGACCAGTAGATTAGAGCGCGGGTTCATGTGAATTTCAGTTTTGCGCAGCGTCGCTGTCTGGGTGGGCTGCGGAGTTGTGAACTGCCATATCCACCAGCAACATGCGGGGGAGCAGTTCGTGCGTATGTAGAGCTTGGTATTGTGGTTCGTCATCGGGCACTTGAGACCGTACCAGCCCGGCTCCCCCCGCGGGGGTTCGGTCCATCAGCCCTTCCTGCGTTAAGAGCATTTGCCCTTAGCATTTGACACAGTGCGACTTCTGGCTCCACCCATACAACCCTCACCGGGCGCCACTAACCACTGGCTTTCACTGGCCTGGCTTGTGCACACCACTGGCCTTTTGTCTGTCTTCCCCTGGCCCTCTGCATCTTGTTGAATGCCCCTTTCGCAAGCCACTTTGCTGCCACCAACTGCAAGGCGGGCGCTTTCGGCGTGCGTGGAATGCAGAGGGCTGCGGCGCGAAGATGCAGCACTCGCCAGCGCCACCAGGTGATGGCGGCGCTGAGGGTGTAGACACTGCACACAGTGAGCAGAACGCGGGCTCCAGCAGCAAAACCAGCAGCAGCAGCAGCAGCAGCAGCAGCAGCAGCAATAGTTCTCGCCAGACGAGCTCTACTGGGCTGCGTCCACGGGCTGCTTTCCCCCAAAACGCAAAAGAGGCTTCCAGGGCTTCTTCTCGGGAGCTTCCGACCTACGTAGATGTGGCCGCCTTCCCGTGCTACCCAGCCCAAGAGCACCAGCAGCAGCAGAAGCAGCAGCAGAAGCAGCAGCAGCAGCAGGAGCCCCTGGAGGAGAACTCGTGCAGCGTCCGAGCGCCCCTCGACAGAGGGGAGTCCGCAGGATGGAGCTCGCGGGTGTGCCTGGCCACAGCTAGCAGCAGCAGCAGCGCCAGTTTGGTCTCTGCTTCCCTTAGAGCCCGTGCTGCTGAGCTCTGTCAGCAGCCAGAAGTGCATGCGCAGCTCTTCCTAATGCTGAGGTCCTCCCAGGGGCAGCTAGCTGCCATGTGCATGAGCCAGCTGCCTCCACAGAGTTACATCGCCCTCAGAGACGAGACAGGACACACTTTGCTGCACTGGGCAGCTCTTTGCAATGAGCGCAGCGTCATGAAGCTTCTTATTGACGCGGGTAAGCCACTTAAGACTAAGCTGGCCTTCCCAAGCCCCAGTTCCCACCCGTGGCTGGCCCCTTCATGCTGGCTTTCTTTTGTAGAACACAGCCTCAAGCAAGACAGTAATCTACGCAACTTGAAACAGAAAAGTCCTATATCCCGTGCTGCTGCTGCTGCTGCTGCTGCTGCGTTGCTGCTGCGATGCAGGGGCGGACGTGAACGCGCGCGCGACTGAGACGAAGCAGACGCCGTTGATGTGGGCGGTGACAAAGGACAACACTGCAGCTGCGCGTTTGCTGCTGCAGCACGGGGCTGCCTTGTTTGATTACCAGCTGAGCAACAGCGAGGCCAAGGGGTCTCTTGAGGGGCCCCTGCAGCCTCAGGGGCTTCCAGATTACTGCCCCGAACGCCTGGGCCAGAGCCCCCTGCTGCAGGACTCTAAGGGGGGCACTTGCTGCACCCTCGCAGCCCAGCACGATGCCCCCAAGTGTGTTCTGCTGCTCGCTAAGCTTCTTGGCCCCGCAGCCTTTGCTGTGCCAGACGCTAGTGGCTCCACGCCCGCGCATTGGGCCGCCTTCAAGGTAAGTCACAGCCCCCACAGCACAGGGCCGGGGGTTCAGTATTGAATTGGTAGCAGTACCTGCAGGCGTTGCAGGCTGATCTGCGTAGATCTGGGTGCACATTTACAGTGAATTAACAGCAGCACCTGCAGGTGCTGCAGGCCGATCCGTGTAGATCTTGTTGCACATTTACATAAATATATGCCGGAGGGCTGGCGGCTCGAGCCAGAAGAGACAATGCAAAAGATACCAAACAGCACCCTTTTACGTGAAAGCACTAATCTTACTTTCTGTGAGGTTAGGGTTTGATGTGAACACATCAAGGCTGCACTGTCTACAAAATGCAATGGCCTACTGCGTGCGGGTAATTTCTTCAGGGCCACACACTGGTGCTGCGTCTGCTACTGTATTTTGACGTGGATGTCACGGCTGTCGACTTGTTTGGCTGTCTGCCGCTACACCGGGCGGCCGAGGGCGGCCACTTAGAGGCTTTCCGGTGGGTTACGATCCTGATCTAGCTAGCTGACCAGATAGGTCACCATCTGGTTAGCTATCTATTTAGCTGGCCACGAAGCCAGGGACCAGCGTAGCTGTCAGAAGAGGCACCGTTCTAGAGACCTCTACAGCGCCAGCGCTGTCTGTGGTTATTTCCGGGTGTTGTTGCCGATCCTTTGGCCGCCACGCTTTCATCAGACTGCTCGCTGTCGCTGCTCGCTTAGTGCTCAACAAACAGCAGCAGTTACTCCTGTAGGAGTTCCCTGCCTTTGCCTTTTTATTTGCTCTTAATGATGTTCAACAGAGCGCTTGTAGAAGAAGGCGGCCAAGACCCCAGTGAACGCACCACGAAGTCACGCCTAGTGAGACAGACTAATCATCATCATGGAGCAGCACAGAAAGTGAAATGAATTGTATACGCATACGCACGTATCTTTTTGCACATGTATTTCATGTATACACTATCGAATGTATACATTTATATATTGAAAGTGCTATGTATATGTAGATAGTATAAATTGTACTCTTGTTCACGTGCTGTCCTGCTTTCATATTGCAGACGCCGCTAGATATAATCGCTGCGAGCAAAACAGTCAATCCTGAACTCACAGCGTATGTAAAGAAGCTGCAGCAGAACCCCCAACTGCGAAACGATCCCCGTAACCGCGTGTTGACAGAGGATGACATGCGGGTGCGCTGGGACTGACCTGTATTATGAAAACCACGATTTACTGTAATGGGCTTTGAAGACTCTGGGTGGTGTGCGCTTTCGAATGTGGAAGCAAAACCATGGCTGTACGCGAGCTGTGCACTGAGATCGATGAGTAACTGCCAAAAAGACAAAGAGTTCGCGTGCATGGCCTGTTTTTCGATATTTTGCCTCCTTGCTTGTTCGCTGGATTATTTGTTTATCGCAGTCGCCACACTCGTGCCGGCCATCGCGTATATGCCGGTTGTTGACGGACTGCAGCGGTGGCTGGCAGTTGAAGGCGCCTCCAATTTTGGCTCTGTGTGGTCTCACGTTGATGCTGATTGTCTACGCGCGCTCCGTAAGCTTAGGATGTTCCCTTACCCTGTTGCTAATGCTGACACTTCCGTCAATGCTGCTGCAGTATGAGAAACCCTGATTAAAGCTATCCGCGCTTTGCCTGAGCATTTCCGTGTCCAGTCCGTACCGTAGGGAGGCTAAAACATGAGAATAGTGCCTTAGAACGTGAATGGGAACATATTCTAGAGGTGCCTGTTAGCTACACGCATAGATACAAGCAACAGGAAAGTTCATGATCAATTGGGAAGAAAAAGAGTGCACGTTGTTGGCCCTCTGCCTGCTGTTTCCTCAGTTTGACCCGCTCTACCTTCCGGCTACCCCTGAAAGTGTTGCTGCAGCAGGAGCGGCAGCAGGGGTTTGGGCTGGGGGTTGGTTTGCGCGCCTTTGTCTATTGGGTAAGATTGGAGTGTATACGGGACTGCTACTGATCACAGTACTCATATGTTCTAATCCTGGCATACTCCCTAGGCGACCCAAAGGAAATTCGTCCGTGGAAGAGCTAATGGATGTAAGGCTATTACAGATTGGGTGGTCTCTGTTTGCTTGCATGATTGTATGCGTGCCTTGTCGTCTGTTTTTTCACTTCCTTTTGCTGGTTTTACGTCTCCGTCGCTTCCATTCTTCTGTGCCCGATGCTTTCGCTTTTTTGCGTCTCACTATTTTTCTCAATGCCCTTGCATTTTCATTCACGCTACCCTATTTTCTGAAATGGTGTGGGGCAGCAGTCCAGTGCTGCCCTTGGTGCATCGGCATTGCCGAGCCTCTCCTCACGTGCCTTCAGATATTTCTAGTTCTGTGGTTATGCCATTCGTGTGTCTGAGAGCAAGAGCGTGGGAGTAAGCTAACCACATATTTGAAGCAGTGTCAGCTCGCTTAACGTTTTTGTGCATCAATTGTTGCAGCTTTTGGCTGCGCCTGAAACCCCTTCTGAGACAATAGAGGAAATCGATATGCAGCGGCTGTGCTACACATGTTGGATCTACCGTCCCATTCGCACAAAGCACTGCAGGTAATTATCATTCAACTACCTTCCATTTGTGATCCCTTCTAAACTTATAGATGTAGAATTAAATGGAAACGGTATAGATATGATGAAGGAATGCAATCATATACGGGATATGTATACAGATGCATGTGAAGTGCTACTGAACTATACTGTTAGCTGCTTTTGATTCAAGCCATTTTATTCACATGGAATTTACCGGTTGTTGTG